CACGTTTTTGAAATACACAAACCCAAAGACTGGAAATAAATTGCTTGTGTTACCACCCAGCAAACATAGAAGAAGGATGTTTGTGTTACAGAGTGTGTTGCTCTACATCATCAGGATTGTTTCTGCAGTTGCTGTGAAGCTGCTAATACATAATTGTCAGTGTGACAGCCTGCAGCTTGGGCTGGCAGTGATGGTAGAATTAATGATATGTTCTAATATCGCTCTTCTCTCTTTTTTTTTTTCCTACATAAATGTGGAATCTGGAGAAGGGAGGAATATAGGGCAGCGGTATAAGATTTTCTCTGCTATTGTTTTCCTAGAGAATGCTTTAGTCTTTACAGCTGCTAAAAACTTTCCCTACATCTGTATGAAGAAAGTGGTCATACTATTCTGAATATTAAAAATTTATCTTACAGAAGTTGTATTATTTTTTGGTAAAAATCCCTAATATACTTTCCTGATGGGAGCCCCTGGTGGTCTAGTGGTAAGGGCGTGGCGCTGTCACTGCCGAGGCCCGGTTCGATTCCCGGTCAGGGCCACTCCCGGGCAGGTGGGGCTCGTTAGCCCTTAAAGGCAACCCATCTACGTCCTAAGGACCTCGCTGCCACCATCCAAGCTCGCTTGGCCCCGGCAGATGAACCTTAGGATTAAAGGGTGGGCTCAGTTCCGTGCACACTGTGTCTCACCTAAAAAATCCAATGCGCAGGCTGGAAGGTGTAAAGACCTTCCCCGGATCTTCGCTCGCGAAGACTGGCCATTATATACTTTCCTGATGGGCAGCTGAGGTGTGATAAGCAAAATGTATCATAAGGGCGGTGGAAAAGGGTGGAAAAGCAAATGTCTGGTAATTTTAACTATAAGAAGAACAAAACAAAAAGAAGAAAAAAAGATTACTCATCTATCTCCAGGACAAAATAACTCAAAGATACTAATGGAACAAATATAACTACTAAGAGGCATGGTTGTGCCTGCCTGAAGATAGAAAGACACAGTGCTACCTCATTTATGATTTCTGTAAATGTGTTTTGAATGTCATTAGTATCTTCTTTCCCATGCCATTTTATGCACTGTGGTTGAATATATTTAGGGGAGTAACAGTCTGCTGACATTTCTGAGAATCTCAGTTGAACACCAGTTAAACACTTATCAGAATATTACATGACATTTGAACACTGGGGTGTTTTCCCAGGATTTTAATCTGCACTTGTTTGTTTTCTGTATACCTAAAGATACTCACAGAGCTGTAGATAGCCTGGGTGCTTTCAGAGTCCTCTATTAGAAAATCACAGCTCTTAACCTTATTTGCAAGCTGTGTTTCAGCAACCAATCAACCTTTGCTAAAATTATGAAGTAAATGAACAGTGAACAGAATTAGAGATGATCCTGAGGGTCAAAGAGAAGTGTGAAAGTAAAATGCATTGACAGAATGAGCTAGGATGGGAATGCTACAGTCCAGCTTTTCTGTAATGCTGGCCTGGAGCAAAAGCAGAGTAAAAGTCACTGGAATTGGGGTTTTTGTGGGGGTTTTGTTTGTTTGTTTGCTTTTTAAAGTCTGTTTTAACAGACTATACTGCATTTCTTGACTTTTATTAGAGACTTAGAGCAGAAGGTGAAATTACTTAAATGTTTCACTGAGTGTTCTGAGTGTCAGAAGTGTTGTTCTGCTGTAAAAACAATAATAAAAAGGGGACATGATTTGTGAGATGAAAGTGAGAGAATTCCTTTGTATTTTAGATACTGTGTAAATATAATAGTAGAATGGAAAATCCTCAGTTCCAGTGCAGAAATCTATATGTCTTGCAGCCACTAGATTAAAAAAACAACCAAACCAAAACCAAAAAAAAACCACCCAAAACAACAACAAAAAACAACCACCAAACCAGACAAATAAAAAATAAACAAAAATAAACAAAACCAAAAAACTAATCAAAACTATATATAAAATTATACACGATTGTTGAGAACTACCAATGTGGCCAGTTTGTGTGTATGCAGTATCCTTTGAGTGGTTATGTTCTTGGCCAATCATGAGGAACAGTAGCTGTGTGTGTTGCGCAAATTTTCGTAGCACTGCACAGTACCTGAGTTTGGAAGGGGCCTTTGGAGGTCATGTGGTCAACCTCCTTGCTCAAAGCAGGGCCAGCTCTGCAGTTAAATCCACTTTTGAGTGAGTGCTGAGTGTTTACCGGGCTGGAGATTTGGCAGCCTCTCTGGGCAGCCCGCTCCAGCACATGATCATCTTCACAGTTAAACTTCTGTTCTTTGTGTCAAATAGGAATTTCCTTTGGTACAGCCTGTATTAATTGCCTTTTTTTCTGAGTAATATTTGGGATGAGTCTGGCTCTGTCTTCTCTACAGCTACTACTTAAGTGGCTGAAGATGGCAATTAGATCCCTCCTTCTCTTCTTCCAGTTAAATGAACTGAATTCCCTCAGGTTCTCATGTGCTTGAGAACCGTACTTGTTTTGGTGAACCTTTGCTGAACTCTCTCCAAGTTTGTCACTGTTTCTCTTGTACTGGGGAGCTCAGAAGTAGATACACTACTCCTTTTTTTTCCAGTGATCATGTGCTGAAATTTCCATTTAACTCCAAAACAGCTGGAAAATTTTGCTGAATTTCCAACATATAAAGAGTGTATACTGTTAATATATTATCTGCCAGTAGGATCTATAAACTGAAAGAGACTGATTTAGTAAGAGCTAAAAATGTTCTACCTACTTATTTGAAGATAAAGTCAGGAAACTGAATGAAAACATGGTTGAAGAAAAGTCATGTTGGTGGCAGAGCCACACTGCCTGAGTCAGACTGTATTCATTCCAAATTCCAAAGTTGCAGGTTCTCAAAAACACATCTATTATAAGAAGTTTGTATGAAGAAAAGTCTAAATTATTCTCCTTATAGGAGGTTGTAGTCATGCCCATGTGCTCCCCTTTCAGAGTCATGCCTTCTTGAATCTTTTGCTAATAAAGACGTTCTTTACCACTCTTGTGTCTATACTGTGGCATTTCCATAATAAAGGCTGTCAGGCAGCTTTTGTTGCTCTCTGAATTTATTTAAAAGCATCTTTCCAAGCCAATCTAGTGGCAAACTAAGGCCAGAGTTGTTGACCTAATTAATGCAATGTCCACACTGAAAGGTTTGAGCGAAAAAAGAGCTAATGACCTCTTAAGATATGGTCCACCTGTAAACTTCTGTCTAATCCCCTATTATCCCCCCCATTTAAAAAAAAAAAATGTTGTATCAAAACTTTGATAGAGAGACTGAGTAAAATATACAGAACTTCTAGAAGCATGTTTTAGCTGTTGGGAATGGTAGCTCAAAAGTTGATCATATCTGCCATACTCAAGCCTAACAACCATCTACTTGGTGTCCTTAGGAATACCTAAAGGATGATTAGTATGTGAATATCCTTTTACAGTATCTTCTGTGCAATTCAGTGGTAAGTCTTTTGCCAGAAGGCCCTTGAAAGAAGGGGTTCTTATTGGGAATCTCTTCACAGAGACTTTTGTTAAACCATCACTTACACAAGTGATTACACACCAGATAGACTAGTGTCCTTTAAGAATTCAGCTGACAACTGTGCAGTGCAGTGCTGGTGATGCTAGCTGGCTTCAGTCAGCCTTCCCGTGCACAGTAAAGCACATTTGCACACCTGGGCACCTTTACACATTTGGAACATGTCATGTTTATAACATGACCACCTGCTAGGAGAAAAAAATAGTGCACCATTTTGGTCATTTTTGTGTTTCACAAACACAGTGTGACTCACTAAACAGGGTATTGGGAGTTCAATAATATATTACCTTGATTACCGAGAAAATGCAAGTGCCCTGCTATACGTGTTAAACATCACAGCAAACCAGTATCTGAGGTGACATTTGGATCATAAACAGTGTCATTTGCCCTGCCCCTCAAAATTTGTGTCTATGAAAACATGCATCAAACAAATGCTTTCAGTTTCTTCTTCATTCTTTGATCATTGAAGTAATGGTGTAAATGGCTCTAGTAAATCACAGTATTGTGAAGACTGCACAGCAAATTCTCAATGCCATTTGAATGAAGATTTTGGACTGTGATTTGCTCCGTCTTTTGTACCTAGGAACACTAGGGACCAAATCCTCTGTGCTTCTTTATTGTGCTGTTCCAGAATATATCAATTTTACAAGCTCAAATTCCCATACTGTGATGGCATGGGGGCCTTCCACATTTCTCATTAACACTGCTTTACACATTCCACATGCCAGAAGTGTGAATAAGTTTGGTATAAATACTGAGGATATTCTGATCTGTGAAAGCATCTGAATACATAATAGGGGTTTACTGAAGTCAGCAAGAGTTAAATTCGTGCTTAAGAGCTAACCAAGAAAATATTTGTTCTTGCTGAGCTGGGAGTCCTGTGGTAAAAGGAATAGATTATACCCAACCCTCTGAGAGTATTTCTCCATGGTATAACACTCCTTGCTTTGAAGAAATAAGATGTAAGATATAGCTTCAGTGCCTCACAGACTCTTTCTAAGGCATATATATGTCTATCTTTAAAGCAAAATCTATCCTCTTCAGATTTTAATGAGCTTACCAATGGCTGAAGTAACAAAATGAGGAAATATGAAAAAGACTGAAATTATATATTTTTTAACATCAATTGATAAAAATCCTGATTTCCTCCTTATTTTTCCTATGTTTTCCTAGAATTTATTTTAGTGTTATAAAAATACAAATACTGCCTCTCATGAGTTTATCATTAATGCACTGTTTTACAGTCTGCATTTCTAAGTATAAAACCGTATGAGTTTAAAGTCTGTTCAGTAGATTCTTTACATCTCAGGTTAAAAAGGATGAAGTAACCTTCATGTGCAAATACGGGATGTTTATCAAAATGCATTGCTTCTTGATTAGAATATTGCTTTGTTCTGACCGCTAGGTGGTGCAAATGCCTGCAAGTATGTATGTCTGCGTGGGAATGTAACGACAGTAATAAACACTATTTTTCTGCTCAACAGATATTTCCTGGACTGATTCTCTCAGACATTAAGCCTGCCAAAAGAATGAAGTTCAAGACAGTCTGCTATCTGCTTGTTCAGCTCATGCACTGTCGTAAGATGTTCAAAGCAGAGATCCCTTTCTCCAATGTCATGACGTGTGAGGATGATGATAAGGTAATCCCTGTGGGCCACGTGCACCCTTTGGGCATCAGTTCCAGGAGTGCAACAAGCAGACTTGCTTTGAGAACATAAGGGGTGATGTTATTGACTGATAGAGAAGTTTCTGGTGTTCCTGCTGGAGCTGAAGCTAGAATTATAGAATGCTGCCTATAAAAACAAAACTTAAAAAGGCCTCAAATTTGAGGAACCTCTTGGAAAAGCCAGTAGAGGTGGCTTATGTGGTTTCTATTAAGGGATTCCTTCCCAGAAATTAGAGTTTCTGAGTCTTTTTCCATAATTTTAAAAAGATATTATTTTGCATCTTTTGTCCATCACAATCTGAAGCTGTTGATGGCAAATACAAAACAACAGAATACTTTAATAGCTCTAGATGGTTCTCTAAAAAATGAAAGACAACCAATTAGTCAAAAACCCTCTTAGTCCCTTATACAAATCCTGAACATAGAAGTTCTTAATACAAATTCCACTTTCTTGGATGCCTTGTAATGCCATAAATCAAAATCGCTTTACATATTAGTAGCCTGGTTTACTTCCTTTTCTGTACATGAATCTACCCAGAAATTTATGGGGAAAAAAAACCCAAACAACCAACCTACAGAGTTGCTCGTTCCATTTTCTTAGCCAGCAGGTGGCAATATTACATAATCACTTCACCAGTGAGTGGTGGCATGATGTGCATTGGAAGCAGGAAATCAGCTTGACTGATTGCTCCACATTATTTGGGGGGGGGGGAGGGTTGATTTTTTGCGGGTTTTTGTTGTTATTTTTGTTTAATAATGTACATTTTTTGAAGATTCAGTCTAAATCTTACTTTCAGAAAGTGTTTGAAATTTCATATTTTGGGTTTTACATGGGCTTGTGTTCCTTCTGCAGGAGAAGGGCAGAAAAGTCTGTTAGTATCTTTAAAGCACAGTTTCAGTGAAGACTTTCAGAAACTCTAGATTTTATTTTGAAACTGGCCATCTACAAGGCCTTTCAATTGTGAATTAATGCTGTCTTTGACTATATATATATAAAAAAAAAGGAACCCACACATTCTTGGAAGCATATGCAATACTTTGCATCATGTCTTGTGTATGTGTATCTATAATATGGTAATATACACAGAAAATAGCCATATGGGTTTGCTAGGGATCTGATGAAAATTTTTGCATGTCAGAACATTTGCAGTGAAGTTCTACAATGCTGTTATTAATTGAAACAATTGTTCTGAGCTTTTGTAACTTTTATAAAACACTTATCATGGGTTTATATTATGTTATTAATAAAAATACTCTGTGTTGCAGTGCAGAGTTTCTTCAGAGCTTTCAGTCCTCAAATCATGTAAATCATGTAAAACAAGTGGGACTTTAAAGGCTTGGAAGCCAGTACATTTCTGAGAAATACAAATACTGGCTTGATCACATATAAGACAGTATAAGTCTACTGTATGAAACAATAATAGAGATAAAAATAAGAGACACAGAGGAAATCATTATATTTAAGAAACAGCTATTTTGATTAAGAGCAGTAACTTTATCCCTATTTCAAAATGGCAGAATAGATAATATAATTTATTCCATATATCAGAATAACACCCATCATCTACCTTCCTTCCAGGTTTTAAAACAAAGAAACATTCTTTTTAAGTGCTATTTTGCTCACCCCATTGTTAATATGATAAATCTGAACTGTATAAAATCCCCAAAGATGTACTTTCTGCTGCACCTTATGCAATACATATGGTAACTCATTATTGTTTATGTTTTATTGTTTATACTCTTGAAAGCACTCAGTCTCCCTGCAAACTAGTGTGACAAATGTCTTCTGGAAGGGAACAAATTTATCTCTTTAGAAACATTGAAAATAGTTGTTTGGCTGGCAATTTAAGATTTTAATTATTCCTAACTGTACCCAGAAGATCAGAATTGAAAGCTCTAGTCCATGTAAGTCTCCAAGATTATTTTTCATGTTGAAAGAATTAGTTATTGCTCCACAGACAATTTACCAAGTAATGGGATCTGATAGTTTGAAGAAAAATGTTTCAAGTAGCCTCATAATTGTTTAGTGCTGGTATAACCTCCTCTCTACATACAAAGTCAGCAAAGCAAGACCTGGTGTTATTTTATCTTTGCTAAGGTCCATTCTTCTTTATGATCAGAAAGCTAACATGTCAGTCAGTAGATAACCCTTCCAACTGTTCATACGTATTCAGGTATAATATCTGTATAACATAAGCTATGTAAGCTAATAAACTGTTGTACTCCACAGTTTGTTTACTGATGGGGATCTCATAAGAACTTCTTGTGGAATAAGACAGGAAATGGCCATTCCTGCAGGATTACTTAAATAGCACTCACCACCTTTTTTTTACTATCTGGTTTAAAAGGATATTTTGTAGTGTAACCCTTAAAGAGTGGCTTATTAAGTACTGACTACTCTGAAGAGAGAAATTTTGTTTGCTTCCTTAACTTCTTGCTGACAGACTCTACTAATTATATCCTGAGCAGACTTGGAATTCCATAATGTTTTGAATTGTCTTGAACTCCCCAGATGTTAGATAAAAAAGTATTCCTTTAACTTTATAGAAATAGTAGAACTTGCCCAAGCTTGTTGTCAAAACTCTTCTGGGAAGTAAGGCTCTCTATTCATACTAGTAGAGATCTAGCCATAATGGTTTAGATTACAGTGCCCCCAGCTGATGTTTGCCACCAGTGGGGCTGAGATGCTGCTCACTGTCTCCTGAGTGCTCTGTGAAAAGCAAGACAGCTTGTCTAAAATCCCTTTCAGATACGCTCTGTGATAAATCTTTTCCACTGAAAGTGACTATGAGTGATCATCTTGACAGTCACGCTACCTCAGCTATGAAGGAGCCAGTTAGGCACAGGTTAGCTTTGATAATTTACTGGATTGCTCTATCTGGATCTGCAAGTGCACGTGAGGCATACTCAAGAGGTCTTAACAAGAAAGCCACTTGGGTGAGTTAAAGATAGGAACACTTGAGATTTCAGACCCTCTGAAGTCACACATGGTCATTGTGTGGTTGAGGAAAATTATCTTTTCAAAATGTGTATTGCTACCTAGACAGTGGGACTTTTCTTGTGTCATGAAGAGCCTGATTATATTGTCTTCAAGATGTCCAGAACTTCATGCCTTCCCTCATGAAAAAAAAATTGCAAGGTAAAGTCACACTGAGTGGGAACAAACTGATTATTTCCTAAGTGGCAGAGAAGTGTCAGGGCAATGTGTGAAGAGAATTTCTGGATTAAAATCCTGGAATGCAGTGTGTAAGGGGCTCTCATTGGTTTGAATGAATTCAGGATTTCGGCTAAGGAGTTTTTACAAGACAACATTCGCATGGAGGTAAGATCTCTGTCTTTTGTAGTTGCTCTGTTTAATGAACTCCTCATCCTGACTGTGAGCTTGAGGTAATATGAACAGCAATGAAAAATTTCAATACTGATAAAATCTGTGCTTCTTCCTTCATCTGTGCCGCAGAGGAGAGCATTAAGGACAGCCTCTGAAAAACTCAGGAATCGTTCCTCTTTTTCTACCAATGTTGTATACAACACTCCAGGAACTCGAGTAAACAGATACATCAGCCGCTTGATAGAGGCCCGGCAAACTGAGTCTGAGATGGCTGACTTGAACTTCATTACTCTGAAGTATAAGCAAACTGAGCGTGAAAATAAAGTAAGGGAGTTTTAAATTATTTTTACTGATTTCACTGACCACAAGCCAACTAGCATTGGGGTTTTGTTTGTTTTTATACAATATTTAAATTCTACTTACTGTCTTTAAATACTTCACTGGACTGTCAATTAAGAGAGAGACATTATCTCTACCTTCTATCGAAACACTTGAAGGGGATAAAAAGAAAGATCAGTATCATCCTACAAGATCCTATTCCATAATGTTACATATCTTTTGTTTTGTCTTTCTTTTGCTTATCGAAACTGCCTGACCTGTGTCCCCTGTTTAATGCTGTCTCATGGCAATGTGGCTGCCTACTAACTCATGTGCTCTGGAGAAGTGTTAATGACAGGAGGACGCTTCCCTCTGCATATGTAGCTTGATAGGTAATGATCTCTGTCAGTTCTAGAAAATACCAAAAAAACCCTGAACTCTGGGCTGTGTGACTGTGCTGAAAGCAGTTGATTAACTCCAGACTTATAACTCGGCATATAAGCTAACAATTGTTCCTACCTTGGTTTTGTTTGTAAATACAAATTGTTTGTATTTACAACCTGTAGTTTACATGTTTTTTAAAAAACAAAAGTGTTATGGTTTTGGATTAATTTGGCAGTAGCATTTAATGTTCTACTGTAAGTCACTTTATAGTCTAAAATTTCATGTCTCTACTGTTTCAAGTCAGAAGGCTGTGTGCCATATCGGATCCAATTTTTTAAGGTCTTGAGCATAAATTTTAATTTAAAGTTTCCAGAGTAGTTTATTATCCAAATGTAACTGTTCTCTTTCAAAATAAGGAAGTCTTTTCATGTAAATGAAATTGAACTTTGGATCTTTCTCAGAAAACACTTATGTGTTTCTACCCCAAGAAAGTGTTATCTTGTGAAGTGTGTAGCTTAGTGGAATTGAAGACAGTAGCTGCTCAAAAATGAACCCGTGCATCTCATTAGCAGCTGCCTCCAAGCCCACAGTGTCCTGTCCTGGGCAGCTGAGGTGACAGGACTTCTTGAAGGCAGCACCAAGAGGTGTTTAGCCTTGTTTCATGATAAGTAGAGAAGAGCAAGTGCCACCTTCTTCTGGTTCAAAATGGCTTATTTTTTTTCTCCAAAACATAAACTTATATCTGAACCTAAACCAATTTTGACTAGTTACAGGGTAAAACAGAAGTCTGTCAAAGAAAATGTTGTGTAGACTTGCCTCATATGTTTCTTTCATGTGAATTAAGCCATGATTTTTTGTTTTTAAACTAAGTAGGAGCTTGTTTTATTTTAGGCTATAGTTCTTTCTTACTGAGAATGGACAAGTGTGGCTGACTAGGTGTATATAAAATATCCACTATACTAATTTCTTCCTTTCTTTAACAGTATCACCAGCTTCAAGACGAGTACTTCACCAGTGCTGTAGTTCTCTCACTAATTCTATCTGCCTTATTTGGCCTTGTCTACCTTCTAATAATACCACAGTAAGTTTCTGTCTTTTGACATTATAAATCAAAGTGGAACATCTTCAGACATCCTTCACAAATCAAAATATTAAAGTCTTTGGAACAGGAATGAGCACCAAAATTGGCATCTTCTAATATAGGAGATTCTCTGCTGGTATATTCTCAATCTGATCTCTTTCCATCTATTTGTCCAAAGGAGACACTTTTTGCTACTTTTTTTTTTTTTTTTTTTTTGGTAGAAGGATGCACTTAGAAGGAAAAAACACATTTCAGTGTTTATTTAAACTTTCCTTGTTTATTTCTAACTTATTTCAAGCATTTCTGGTCTACAAACAAAGGTGTTACTACAGCTTTTTTGAATGTGTTTGTGCTGACTTTGGATGAGGTACTTCAGGTATTGATAGCAAGATAGATAAAACTATACAGGTTTTTATGGAAACTAAGTACTGAAGTATCCATTTAGCTTTTCAACCCAAATTTATAGCCTGCAATTGAGGTTTTTGGTATCAATGCTATCACTACACAAACTGCCTAGTGGATAGTTTGTCCATGCACCCATAACTTGCAGTCAGACCTTGACTGCACTAAAGCAGACAAAATCAAAATGCTCATGATGTATTTGAGGGCTGTTCTGTGCCTATTGTTGAGTGATGCAGTTTATTGATTACTTCAGATTTTGCCAATTCTATGTGATTGCTTACTGAATAAAAAAATTAAACTTCACTGTCAAATCTAGAGATTATAATAAGTAGGTATAGAATTGTGTTTAAGGTATAAAAATTGTTACTAATAAGCTATTTTATACTGGAATATCAAAACATTAAAAATAAACTCTACTCACTTTTACTAATTATTACAATTTCAGTGGGAATAGAACTGGCCACAGGTAATGAAAATCCCATTTAAAATTCTGTGTTTTTCTATTCACAAATCCCCAGTCAGGGTAATACTTTTATTTTCTGTTATTTCTAATTGAAAGATTGAGAAACACTTCTTTTAAACTCAATAATAATAATAATAATAATAATAGTTGTATAATATCTTTCATCTGAAGAATTCAAAGTCGCTGACAAAAATCATCACTTACGTCACCATTTACAGAATAACAACTCTGCTGACTAATTGGAATGTAATTAAGAAGTTCTTCACCTTCTTCTGCAGTAAACCACAACTGCAGCACATGACAATTTTGAACATGGAGAAACAAATGAAAAAAAATTTGAATGAATTTCCAAGAATCATATGGTAACCTTTCCAAAAAGTACTGTCACTTAAAAAACAGCTGGAGAGAGTTTCAGTTTAAGCTCTGATGGGACAGATACACAAGCTCCAGCAGAATATCACCACTGAAGGTCATGAAGATGGACTGGGTTATTTAGGAAAGCCATCCACTGAATACTCCTAAGTTCTTTCTTCCAGTGTCTGTTATTCTAGCTAAATTACTAGTACTCCTGGGCTCGTCCTTCTCTGTGATACATATGCAACCATGAGCTAAATTAAAACTTCGGAAGTATAGAAAAATTTCCCCTCTCCCCAAAACATGGAGCTCTTTATATTACCAAAGCAGTTATAAATATGACAAAAGAATGCAAAAGCAAGAACAAGACTTCTAATATGTTATTCTAATGAAAGAATTGAGGTATGGAAATATTCCAAGGAGAAAGTTCAAAATCTAGACAAGTAAATGTTGTACAAAAGCCAGTTGCTGCATAAATACACAGAAAGCAATGGGCTTTACATTCTCACAATTCCTATCATGGCCTAAGCAAAACAGCTTCTCAGCTAAAGGCATATTTCATATCCCCAGATGGAGTTGTTGAAAGTAAGGTTAAGTTCCAATCAACCTAATCTGTCCAAGCATGGAGGCATACACCTAATATAGCCACTAAAAGCTCTGATAATAAACCTTTCTGATGTTTTATACCGTGTTTATTTTTTTAAAAACAATGTAGCCCCTTTTACAAATGCCAACCCAAATGTCTGTCAGGGTCCCACTCAACACTAATGTCAGTTGCTGGCTATTGCTGCATTAAAAGACTCATTGCAGTCATGTCCCCTGCATTCTTTTCTAGCATACTACCATCCTGAATGCAAGTGAATTCTCCAAAGGCGTAAGAGCCCGTAGTCTATTAATACTTGTATTCAGAATCCACACTGACAGTACTAGAGTCACTTCCTCATTCTGGGTACACGTACTACATATACGGAATTTTCCCTGTTTCTGTATCGGTAAGAATCATTACATGAATTTGAAATCAAAGCCAAACAGTTAGAAATTCTATAGGAGAATTGTACACTTCTGCTGTTCGAAACACCGTATAACCAGTCTTTCCCCAGTAGTCATCACGGGTACAGATATATTTATATGAAGACATGGCTCACATCTTCTGGACTGGTTGGTTTGTTCTCACAAGCTAGAAAAGAGGGTGTGAAGATTTTGTTATGCTGCTGTCATGCAGCCCTGGTTCCATGGCTGGTGTGGAGCCAAGCTGTCCCTAAGCATAAATCGAATGCACCAGTACCAGCACTGGTGGAGTTATTTTTGTCAAATTGCACACATCCATACAGTACTTCTCCAATAACAGAAGTTTTCTGGAGGAGGAAAGTTCTTGTTTTGCACTCTTCTTCTCATGAAGAACATGCCTATTTTGACAGATCAGGAGAGGGAAGATTTAGAATTAAAAATACAGCTTCTTTTTGAAAACTAAGATTTGTCTAACCATTGAGGAAGACTGAGGAAGGAGTTCTGTTCTGTTCTGTTTCATTAGAAGGCAGTCTGGTCTGATTTTGTTTGACTTGATAAGTGACTGAGTTGAATGACCTCTGATTTCTGAATCTTTGAGAAAGAGAGATGAGAGGGAAAAAGTATCTGGTAACTGTTTCACAGCTGCCAAGGCCAAGTAGTTGGGTTACATACTCCCCTTAAGAGTGTCATCATGCTGAATATTCTGTATTACCCTACAATTAGAAAGTGTCTCTCCTGACACACCATATATCTGAATATTTGAGGTGCTTTGATCTCCTTGCTGAGTCCAGAGTGGGAACCATATACAAGAGCATTTACTAATGTCTTAATCTTGAGAGCAGTGGACTTAACTGTTAAATTTCCTCTGCTGTGGTTAGTATTACAGCAAGGTTGAGGAGGAGATCCTACACCATTCACTTAAAATACCATTTCAGAAGGACCCCAAACAGCAGTTTGTTCTCATCTTCTACAGAGTTGCATTACTTCTATTGTGTTTTGATTTTAGGAGTACCGTAGTTCTTGTTCTCCTGGTGTTCTGCATATGCTTCCTAGTGGCTTGTATTATGTACCTACATGTCACACGAGTACAAGTAAGTGATTTAAGATTTTATAACTATTCTTCCTTTTGGTGTCCCTGCTATGTTTGTCCTTTGGAATATGAAGCCATCTGTGTAAGCTTCATAGATTCATAGAGATTGACTTCTGTGTGCTTTTCAAGTTTGTTGCGAAGTAATGTATTGGGCACTTCAAAACCAAAGATGGATCACCTGAAAGTAGACTTTATATGAGTAATCATTACAGCTGTGTAGCATTCAGTCCCATTAATTCTATGCTTTCTGTCTTTTTTGCTACATTGTCCCTTAACACTTACGGCTAGGTACTGAATCATTGCAGTGTTCAGAAAAACAACTGCTTTAATCTGACTTCTATTCCTTTCTGACTGCAGAGCACACTAGTTCTCCCTTCCATTTCAGATAGTATCTGGGTGTAAAGTCCTTCTAAATTCCCCTCTGTTTTCAAAATTATTCCTGCCAAAGCTGCAGCTGTTTTGATGGTAAAGCATGATGTTTTGCACAGATAATCCTTGGCCTTTTCAAAACCTTTAATAATGATTAATTCTCCTGCATTATATTTTCACAACAGTAATGATGTAGAAGACATTTGGTTGCATTATCAGAGAACTAGGTCTGACACATCAGAATAAAGCATCTACAGGCAAATTTTCTGATGAAAGAAATCTGTAGTGGATTAATCTAAATTTAGACTTCTCAGACAAATATCAGGAGAAAACACCTACACAGTTAATCAGCTTTTCTGATTAGCACACACTAATTTTAGTTAAAAAAAAAATGTCCTTTGGCAGGAGAAAAGTAATTGTTTTCATTGAAACTTAAATAGCATATTATCAGAGTATCAGGTACAGAGTAGAACCCTATTTATAAACTTGTACAATTATTTGGGAGTAATTTTGATGATCTCTTTTGTTTCATTAAGGCAAAATAGTTTATCTTCTGTTTTTCTCTGTATAGATGATAGAAACACAGACGAAGTTTGTAGGAAATTACTTCTCTTTATACAGTTTCCCTAGAGTTAGTGCAAACTTGATATGTGTTCCATCTGTTTTCTCAGTCAACAATATTTATATTTATTCCAGGTTCCTCTATAGATTCAGTACCTTATAGGATCAAATATAATATTAGAAAAATAAAGAAATATGAAACATCAGAATATCGCAGCTTAAAATTTTATAGTGAAAATTTGTCTTATAGAGTAAATAAAATATGATTAATATGCTATGTATAAACGATGTAGAATGTATAGAATGTAAACCAGTCATTCCCCTATTTTAATCTGTCTTCTGTCACTTCTTTTTTCTTAAACACTGGGTAAGTGATTCACCTTCTCCATGCTTTACCATTAAATGCCTTACTCCTAAAACCATTATGATAATGTTTACTGTACCAATTACCTAGCATTTTGGGGATCTGACAGTACTTATATAGTTAATAAAAATTCCACAAATAAAAGAAAACAAAAAAAAAAGGCACAAAATTCTGTGCTATCGTAAAGAGCAGATGCAATCTTGGAATGACCTAAAGTCAGAAGTATAAATCTTCTTAGTGTAAGAGTTTTAATTCAGGCATGTCTCATACCTTATCTTTTAAAGGTTTCTTTTTAACACAATAGCCTAGCATGTCAACATATAGAACATCTATTACCACACAGACCAAAAAAAAATTGTGCAATGTGTCAGGACACATGGTCTTTGAATCTGTGTGATGTTTTGTCAGTATTAACAATCCAGCATTATCTTCAAACTCTCTTTAATAAGCAGTAGATAATTGCAAACTGAATTTGATTGCAAACTGAATTAATGGAATGTATATATTTCCTTCAAACAAAATTAACTTTATTTATTTATTTATTTATATGGATAAAACTGCACATTCCACCCCGTGTGTGTATAGGATTTTGGTCTAGTTGGGTGGACAATTTGATGGGTAAAACGCCATTGGGATGATCACATTCAGAGCATAGCAGTTTATGGTTGTACTCTACTTGGTAATAAGTGGAGCACCACAGGTATTTATCCTGAATCCTGTCCTGTCAGACAGTTTTATCAACAACCTGGAGAGGGGCATGTAGTATACTCATGTGAAGTGACTCCAGTTTTTGGGAGAATAGCTGTCAGGATGACTAATTAGAGGATTCTGGATAGGCTGACAGAATTGGCCAACAGGAATCTTATGAAATACAGCATGCATGAATGCAAAGTCCAGGCCCTGAGAATAAAGAACTGCCTGCAGTAACACAGACTGGGGAGTGACCAGCTCTGCAAAAATAGCCCTGGGACTCTAGGGGTTAAGGCAGACAGACAGTACTTTTGGGCCTCCTGAGATCCCTTCCAACCTGAATTGTATGATAATGGTGAATAAATGCAGAAATAGTCTGTCTTTTTTTCATAATGCAATTTTGGACAATGCTGTATCTTTTCCCTTGAAACACAGTTTTTCAATCTCAGATTCTTACAATTTGAGGTATTTGTTCAGCATTATGCTCACTGTTTTATTAAAGGTGATATACCTCGAGTATCCTAACATATTTTATTGATGCTGACTAATACTTAAACTGGTTTATGATGTATCTAAGTAACTCAGGTTCATAATACAAATCTATTATTGATATTATATTATACTTACACGGACTGAAACCAAACAGAAACCAGAATGTATTTGCAGTTCGTACATTTTTTATTTCTGCTATAATTGCTGTATTCTCATGTGTCACAGCCCAAATGAAGTTGATTCACTTATAACTATCTCAACTTTTAATTCATGGTCACACATACAGGGGAAATGTCTCTACATATGTGAATGGGAAGGAAGGTATTTAGATACATGGTTTCTGTTGTGCCAAGGCTACAGTAGCCTCTCTCTGTGAGTACTTTGCTGCCTACTGGAAGCTATGCTTTTGATGTTGGTGATAGCCATGAAGTGAACAGCTCTCCTTCACAATTGGTATTTTCATCCGAAAATCAGGTGTTTGCTTGCTCTCTTTGACCTTAAGTCAAATTCAACCTTGATAAACCTGAGCCCCCTCCTTTTAAAGAACATAGGATTGTCCCCACTTTAAATCTGATTGTTTCTTGGAGTTCTTGACCCTTGAAGTCACTGGAAAAATTCTAGTGGTCTGGAAGATATATCCTGGATCCAGTATGTAATAAGTACTCCAGACACTCCTAGTGAGAGGGGAAAGGAAGGAAAGCAGCTTTACCTGAAAGCAGAGTAGATCAGTATGACTGGAACAAGTCTGACAGACTTACCCTTCCTGTCTCACATTCTGTTACAATCTTCATAGCAGCAAGAACTTCACACATTTAGAAGCATGATAGATGGAATCATGGTAAAAATGGAGATAAGCAGGGCTCTATTTCACCAGATATTTTTGTTCTCTACTGCTCTTTCTGAGAAATTCAGTATTTTTAATGAGTCCAGATAATTAAAACTACCCTGGCATGGCATTTAACATGACTATTATAACAGAAGACACAAATACCACTCCAAAATTCTATGCTATCACTGTACATTCTCTTGGGTCACAATTTGGAACTGGTAATTTGTGAGGCAAAAGTTGCTTTGGGTATTTTTCCCATGAGAGCAAGATCAAATGTCATCCTAATTTACTATTTGCATCATGAGTAGACATGCTAATAAACTTTCTAAGAGTTTTAACTATAGTGAGAAATAATGTATAGTAATAATAATTTCGTATTTATTATCCCCAAAGCTACAATTACAATTAAAACACATCTACACAATAATAACTGCATAACAGTTATTACACAACAGTAACTACAACTTCGTAATTTGCAATACAGGCTAAATTTCCATATCCCATATTCACCTCTCATTATAGACTACTAAAAAATATCTACCCCACTTTAAAATGTTTTAAAATATTTGTCTATAAATATATTTTTTTCTTCCTTAGTGTTTTCCAGGGTGCCTGACAATACAAATTCGTACCATTTTGTGTATTTTTATTGTGATCTTAATATACTCCGTGGCTCAAGGATGTGTGGTGAGTATTTAAATCAAGCATCACTTAACTTAGTGTTCTGTTTAAAGAACAACCATTAAACACATAGATAAATGCAATCATTAAAGCAATCATTGTTTGCATTGATAAATGCAACCATAGTCTGGTCTGGTGAATTCCTATTCTCTTTATTATTCATACTTGAAGAGCATGCTTCTTCAAAATTAAACCCCTCTGCTGTAATTTCAACTTTACCTGACAAGGTGTTGAAGTAGGAATGGCAAAGCAATTGTCAAGTTACACAGATCATACCTAGTCAAAACCTACAGAAATGTGTTTATCAAAACTTAGTATCATATAGTCTGCCGATGTCTTGTACTTTATGGGAAAACAATTTTTAAATGTTCAACTTGCTTGCTAGTTCATTGGCTAATATTTTGTGACAGACAAGGCATGCTGTCAAAACAAGATTATGTGGCAACTTATAAAACATATTTCTGTGTAAAAACAAGGGGCTATTTTTAGTCCAGACAGATCAGAAAAGATGAAGAGATCTTAAAATATAAACAGTAACTGTGCTACTTACATGATCCATTCACATCTAATATCTAGAAAGCTTCTGTTGTATGAAGTGACCTTGCTTAATAGTTCTGAAAACTGAACTTCCTTTACTGTAGACTAGCAGCTAGTTCTACATGGTGGACTTGAATTCAAATTTAAACTTCCACCTAAGTATTTGTCATTCAGTTGCCTTGCCAAATACCAAACACTCAATTTCAGCATTTTGGCTGCTAATGCTAATGGATTAAACATGTTAGGTACTCAAAGGAAAGAATCCACACAAAAAATAGCACACTAAACACAACTGGAAGTGCTAAGAAGGCAGATGTGTCAAATCATGCCTCTCTATGGGGATTAAACAATGTATTCTGACCATTAAGAAGGCATGAACAATTCTCAGTGCTAACTGAGATACCGAGCCCCTTATTTTGTATTTTGTGTATTTGCTTATTCCTGGACCTGCCCTCAGAACTTATACCCAGCTTATCCACATGAACTGAATGGGCAGCGGATCCCTTCTCTGTGAATTCCAGTGTCCTGAGAGAAACCAAGAATTACTGATGTTGAGACATTTCTGGGAATTCCTGAACATCATCTGTGTTAATTAACACGCAGCCCTAACAGAACACAGGCATATATGTGGTTCTTAGTGCACACATGAGCCCAAAATGCATAGAGCTGTGCAGTGCCTCCAGGCTAGTTTCTCAGCAAGTTCTGTGTATCTGACTTTGGGATTAAGATTAATGTTATGACAGATGAAATCTTTGTGAATCAGCCTCCTTAGATCTGACACTTACTTTGACCGAAAGAAACAAGCACCATCATTACCGCTTAAAGATGGTGAAAATGAGAAACAGACATCGTAAGCCCTAAAGCAATGTTGAACAACAGTGGAAGAAGTTAGATTAGAATTCAGAAGTTCTGACCTCCAACAAGGCAGTGATCCTTCAGTTAGGACTTAAAATAGGTCACAAATACAACTTTATCCTTTCCTTAACAAAAATAACCTGTAACCTAAAGAGAAATGCTTCATCCGTAGAAATTATTAGTTCATGCAAAGAATTCTCATCTGCCAGAGGAGCTAGGTGTTGAGGTTTCACTGTTGGTTGTACAGCAGACGGTGTTTTCCTGGGTGGATTGCAGATCACTGATGAGCCCTCATGCTTGTGTATGTTTTTGGATGAGTTTAGTATGAGGAGCATTTTTAAGGATATTGAACACAATCACATTGAAGGCATTTTTCACTCTTTCATTTCACAGTGTTAGCCATTATGAGTTCAAATCATATTTATTATGTTTATCTTTTTAAATTACTACAACTCCCTGTAAAATACATTGCTTAATCACCCTTCAGGTTGCCAGTTACTTTACAGCATGGTATAAAATTTCATTGTCAGTGCTTAGGATGAAAGAGAAGCTTAAGTATAGGGCAGGGCATATGTGGCAGTGCCTGTTAAAATCAATTCCACACTACCATCCCACTCTCCCCACTTATACTAACTCTTATCCTTTTCCTTCGTTAGGGGTGAAGGTTGGACTGCAGTTAAAACTGGAGCTCTAGGGACTTGCACTATTTGCCAGAAATTCCTCTCTTCCTTGGGTAACAGCTCTGAGATGTGTACATGACATTGCCTTTAGAAAAAACAGGTTAAATTTCCCAAAATTTCCCATAAGAAATGCACTAAACCAATTTTTTTATTTCCAGTCTAGGAAGGAAATGGAACTCCTTGGAAAACTGAAATGAGAGGGATAATTAAGGATGAGTCCTTGTATTTGAACCATATGTGACAGCAGAAGTAGCTCTGAGGTGGAGAAAAGATATTATTCGTGTTTAGTTTTTCACTCGATTAAAATATGCTTTATTTTGTATTTAAGTAACTAAAACTGATATGACTTACATAGTCAATAAACCAAACTCATTTATTTTTGTGCTCTGTGCAAGATCCTTCTTCACCTGCATGGCCATGTTAAATGTTAACTGAAGTTCCTTAATTTTGCAGGAATATGCTGGTGTGAGAATCTCTTGATTTTGAGCACTGAGAAAGAAACTATTCAGCTAAGCCCAGACTTCAGCTGTTTGCCCTTACTGGCATCTAATGAACAAATTTTGTCTCTCGCTTAAAACTCCGTGAAGCATTGCAGGAAAAGGAGATTTTAATACAACATTGAGTTGGGTGGGAACTCCACAGCCATATTTTCCCAATTAGAAATGAACCACAGTCAGCCTCCATAGCAATTGCATTTCTGTTTATTTAACTTTCTCCCTTTCTTGCCTCTTCTGTCTTTTCTAGGTTGGCTGCATGCCTTGGGTTTGGAATACCAATTCCAGCAGCTCAATAGTTATAATTTCTCCTGGTGGAACAAATAAAACAATGAATGAACTTCCATGTGACACAGCCCACTATGCTTTCCTTTCCTGTGTAGTGGGGACTCTCACCTTGGCAATATTTCTACGAGTATCTTCCTTGCCAAAAATGATTCTCCTGCTTTTTGTTACCATTTTGTACATAGTTATTCTGGAACTCAGTGGTTACAGAAAAGCATTGGGGTACGTATCTTGCAAAGTTAAAGCAATTGAGTAATTCTCTAAAGGTAGTCATGACATTGATAGTTATCTGTGAATTGTCCTCTAGTATTCAGTGCTGCTTAGGGCTATAGAACCAGTGGAGCATAAGAAATACTTTACTATCCTCTCCCCAGCAATTGTAGGATCTAGTAACATCTATCAACAGGAGACCAGCTTTTGGGAGCTAGCATTCTGTTGTTTTATGGTAACATATTTCAGCTGAACACACTGCAGTCTAACTATAATATGAAATAGGAAACAGCTAAAAACTTCACTTCCATATTTCAGCAGCCCCCAAAGAATTCCAATTTCATTTAAGCTTTTGAGCTTTTCAGTGTTTATATGTTTCCTAATTAAAAGCATGCACACACATTACAATAATGCATAGGATTATAAAATCCTCAAGAAGTTGCATGTTTGTGTGATCAGTGGTTGGATTTACTGTCACCCATCACCCTGTCCAGATAAGCCTCTTCAGAAAAGGCTAGTGATTAGGGACGTTCTAAACCAAAAATGATATTAAAAATATGATATTAAAAAAAGATATTAAAAATATGAGTTGTTAGGTATTGGAAAACCTGGAATAACCCATTTACTTTCTTGTTTTTAAGGGGTGGCTCCTTTTACATGCGTGGCTATGAACCAATACTAGCTATTCTGCTTTTTTCTTGTGCTTTGGCACTGCATTCAAGACAAGTGGACTTGAAACTGCGTCTGGACTACCTCTGGGCTGTGCAGGTGAGTCACAGGACTTTATAGTATCCATTCACACAAAATGATGTCTGACTGTTTGATTTGGCTTGCAAATACTTTCAGGACAAATTAGTTGGACTAAGACTCTTTAAAAATCTTTCATGTCTGTTGGGGTTCACAGAGAAAAGTTATTTTAGAGCCTTCTTTCCACAGATCTATAAAATACCTTTTTTCCTGGAGAAGTGAGGTTTTTGTTTGTTTGAAGTTGTTGCAGTACATCATCAATCATGTAATATATTTATATCTAAGGTGCATTAGGAATGGACTGTTAGCAATATAAATGTGAGATGACAGAAATTAAATCCAAGGAGGATTTTTATCTTTTATTGCAAAAAGGAGTGAAAATAAGTCAGTATTCAGGTAAACTGAAAAGAAGCAGATAAAACTGATAAAAGAAAATATTTATACCTGTATCATGCAATGAAACTATGGAACTCCTTCCCAGATGAAGATCAGAAATTTATTTAGATACCAAGTGCATGCACTGCTTTTGAAAATACATTTCCTAACTATCATAATCACACCAAAACCTGTAGAAATTATATTAGTCATAACACAGGCATCAAGATATGTGTACCGCCTGTCACACCTCTCAGCAGTCCAATTCCCACCTCCAAAGTGTTTCACACTGGCCCCTGAAGGAAGGAGAAGGTTCAATATATGTTTGGTTTGGTGGAATTTGGAAGTTGCCCTTATGGTAAATCTTACACTCCTGTAGTTCACAGAGGTCACATTCTCTTCTCATCTACACCCTGTTAACTGTGTTGTCAAGAGGACTGTAGAAATCATCACAGCACCTGCTTTTACACATAACATCAAGACTGGAACACATGGGTTAGTGAAACACATCCCTGACTCCACTGTGTTATCTAAAATGAAGAACTCAGGAATTACTTAACTCTATTATCTTCTACTTATAAAGTTTTTCTACCTAACAGTTAAGCTTTGTTGGGATTTCTTGTTTGTCTTGGTGTCCAAAACTATGTTCACTTCCTTTTTGACTTAAGATTATCTTGTTCTATAATTTCCATGGACTCTGCACTGTTTAACTGAGTCTTCAGTGTGAAATCACTTAATCTAATTTTTGTCCTGCGACCGACAGTATTGATAGATGCTGTGTCTGTCAGCCTCAGAAGATTGTTTTGGACAAACTGATACTAGTTTCTGCTTGCTGTGCTGACAAATACAGTTTTCAGAAAAAGGTGGCTAGATTTTGAAATTCAGTGGAGCACATGTCTAGCTGTATACTGTGGTGGAAGTATGTGAGTGCTATATGATCCATGAATACAAGACCTTCTGTATGTTATTCCTAGCCCTGAAATAGAGTGGCAGTAGGAATATATGGGGTTTGCTATACTGTGGCCTTTCAGGAGGTCAAGAGGGACTTCCAGCATCTTAAATGCTTTTCATCATTCCAGCTATTTGCATTGCATGGCAAACTGTGCATCCTTAATGGAGGTACTGCTTCAAGTTCTTAGTTTTAAGTTAGCTTTTAACTCACGATCAATTAGTTTTAAAAATTTAGTACAGGAATTTTATGGGATGCTTGTCTAATGAAAGACCAGAACTGGACAATAGTAAAGGAAGAAATATGAACTTTTTCTGTTTTCTTGAGGACAGGTTGTACAGACATACCTAGCCATCTACCATTATTGTTAAAAACATTGTGCGCTTTTTCCAAGAGACTATTAGGAAAGATAAGACATGAAATTTCGAGTGGCATCTTCAGGTACCACTTCAAAAAGTGGTTTTCATCTGAGATCAAATGCCATTTTTAGATCTTTTCAATTGCAAATCAGGTTCTTATGTGGTACCACCTTGTCTGGGAAATTTGCATGATAATATTGAGAAAGGAAAAAAAAATCAGTTTAAGTAGAATATTCAGAATTTAGAGATCAACATAACTACCATTCTTTGAAATCAGTATCCTGGATAGGTTCCAGGCCTCTTAGACGATCTGGACATTTACCTTTCTTCTTCTAAATTCCAAGAGGAAGATCTATTCCCTGTACAGTAAGTAATGGTGGATAACATGTAAGAAAGGTTCTTCTGGTTTCCTCTCTATATATTGATTGTGATGATATTGAGTCCAAGGGCTAATTAATATAACATACAGAAGTACTGTCCATGATGGATGTTACAGAAGTTTTATGGTGTTTATCTATTCACATATTCACTATCTATTTTCTTAAAAAAAAAAAAAAAACACACAACAAAAAAAAACCAAAGCAAAACACAAAACACCAAAAAAACACAAACCAAAACTTTGTACTTACTAGGTTCTTTTGCACAGTAAAAATCTGAATATTAAAGGCTCTGGGAACACTGTTGACTGGAAATATCTGTATGTTAAAACTGCCTTTGAATAGTTAACAAACTCCAATCTAGTAATTGTTTAACAACCTTTAAGAGGAGACAAAAAACCCCTACATTCTCGAGTGACCAGTTTTCTCTAGCTTCTGGACTGCAGGAGCCCTGTGTGTGGTTAAAAGCAGCCTTGGTCATGTTTCTCTAGCCATGGTACTACTTACCATTTAAACATGTTGGCTTAACTTGGTTATATTTTTGGTAACAGAAGTTTTAGAAAGACCACTGACTTACTGCACAGGGCCTGTGGAGATTTTCTGTTTTACAGAGTAAGTGTGCTAGTTCTTTGTGCAAACACTGAATTGCATGAACCATATGCTAAGCCTAGATTCACATCTCCCAGTAGCCAGCCCCTGCCGTGTGAAGATGTGCACAAGTCTTCACATGTCATTTTAGGAGGCTTTTCAGTTGTTGGCTTACAACTGGGAGAATTTCAGACTCAAGGGCTATTCTGGAAGCTGTAAGCACTTTGTTTGGATACTTTTAGTAACATTCATTGTGGGGCTAAATTTGTAAAAATATTCTCAGATGAATAAAAGCGTTTGCGGCATAAGCAACAATAAAGAAGATTTCATAGATAATTTCTTTTACTTCATGGTGCACAATAAATAGTCTAGTATGAACTAATTATATTTTAAACACTGAAAGTGTCCTGAAATTAATACCATTATTAGTAAGAATATATAGATAGATTCTCAGTGGTCTCTGCTAAGATCTGAGAAAAACATACCCATAGACTTTTTTTTTCTACCACATCAGGAAAAGAAGTGTTTTGAAGAAGAGCAGATTTCAAACAAGAAAAACTGGTTAAGAAAAATTATACAGTTTCAAGATAAGTTAATCTAATTTCCATGCATCTGAGTTGCATAACCAGAACAGAGATAATACAGTATGTATTTACATAATTTATGTACATCATGTGGAAAAAATAATTTTTTTTAATTGATAAGTTGTCAAAACATTTATATTTGTACTTACTGTTCACATGACAGTGGTATAGGTTCTTGTTGATTTTGCTAGGGTTTTTTACTCTCCCAAATTTAACCTTTCTGAATATCACAGTATTTCCAGAAAATATTTGTTGTTTGTTTTGTTGATTTTTTAACAGGCAGTGGGAGGATAATTTCATTTTCTGCATAGCATTGTTGAGTAACTCTGTGTGTCTCATATGACAACAACTATGAATAGCAAATATAGGAACATTTTCCTTACCTGTTACTGATATTTACATTTGATGATGCAAATTATTTAGCAAAACTGGGAGAAAAAAAAAGAATGGACAAATAAATACAACTAATAAAGTTATGAAGGTCTAAAACTGCCAAAGGATGGAGTTGTTCACTCACCCAGGACTAGTCAGGGGAGGAAAATAAGTATAATACAATGATATGACTAATTGATGCATTCTTCAGGGAATACTAGAATACAATTCCACTGGCTTTTCTAGTCCACTACACTTGTAAGAAATACAAATTTTACAGTCTGCAGGCAAGACTTGCCACACGTGCTAGCACTTCCTCTCAAAAACCTGGCCCTACAGAAGCAGTGTGATGAGTCTCTTCCCTGTGGCTTTAGTGCCACCTTCAGGTACAAAAAATGAGGTCTCTGAGGCAGCAGTGCCTGGCTTCTTTTTAGCTAAATCTTGAAACTGTATTTTCATGTAATAACTGTTCAGTCAGTGACATTGCTGCAGCATGTTTAGGCTTAAACAGCCAGCTGATACAACTGCTCAGACACTTCCCAAACAAAAAATGTGTCATCAGTTACCAGCATTATAAAAATGGTGGGATGCTATGTAGTGGGGATGGATGGGGATATGCATCAATCCAAGGAGAGTGATTTTGCCACGGTTGCTGATTCAAAAGCAGAATATCTTCCTTTATTTATCTCCCTTGGTTTCCAGCTGCTATGTAGCTTATCAGCTAAGAAGTACCATCAAGTTTCCTCCTCTGCAACGGTTTCAACAGAGCCTGGCTGTGGTGTCTTCACTCCACGCTCCATTTAGTCCCTCTTTGTATTGTGTGAGGGAAGTTGGATTTGCTGATCATATTCCATCCAGGGACTAGCAACTATATTTCTCCCTATAATTTCGGAACTGATATCTTTAATTTTACCCCCAGGCTTTTTCCCACAGTCAGCTATGTCCCAATCTATGTCAACTGAACCTTCTCAAAGTCAAAATTGTAGTTAACAGTTTTGCATCCAAAGAGGGGAGGAGATGCTTGCTAGGTGTGTTGGAGATATGGCATTCTACCATTAGTAATGGTGATGCTTTTCCCTGCTCTTAGAGGATTTTGCCAGCCCTTCAGACATGACTCTGATAGTTTGATTTGCACCATCAGCTCTTCACTCAAGAGCTCAGTTCTCCACTTCTTAGTCATTGCTTAGGCTTCCTCTGAAACCTTTGTTGTCATTTTTCAATCATGTCTTCCAAAATGCCAACTTCAGCTCACAACTGGACAAGGCAGAAGAATCTGGTCACACATTTCCAGATCAGAAATGAACAGCAGCTGCCATTGAGAGAGCAACATCACTATCCATACAATATATCAAATTGATTACTCCACTTACTTACCCCTACTTGATTCCTTTGACTAGTCCAGAAATCCCTATGCCCTGACTTGAAGGACTTGTTCTTTAGGCTGGTATTCTGCCCTGGTATTCTGCCCCATATGTTATTGGTAGCTTAAATGAGAATATTACTATTCCTAGGAATAAAGTAACAAAAAAGCTCTCTTTCAAAAAATAGAGAAATGGATAAACAAGCACCAAATGGAGTTTTTATTCAGAGCATCAGTTCAGTTTTGAAACACCTTTACTGTTGTCAGAGTAAGATTTCCTATATTCCAGTATGGAGCATAAATAGAGTTGCAAGCTCGGTTTGGATTTTCAGCAGAAGAATTTTTTTATTTTTTTATTTTTACTATTAGAACATTTAAATTGCAACAGACTAAATGCCACAGGCCATTTCACATGTTTATAGAAAATAATAAGTCAGAGACAGAATTATGCCACTGAAACAGGGGAATGATATTTTAAGAAAAGAGCATGTGAAATTTAAACAGCAAAAGAAGTGTCAGGAAAACAGCTCACAAACAGGAAATATATACTTGCTTAGAATAAAAGCTTCAGGAGTATTTCTTGCAGAAATTCATTGCTATTTAATGTTTACTGATATTTCATGGCTGAAATAAATTCCGTTTCTTATTACACAACTTAGAGTAGGAGATGAGAATTTATTTCAAAAGCAGAAAATTCCTGAAGAGTTTATCAGTTCTCTTTTCACATTCTTTCTATTTGTAAAGAAATTTAGAAATACAGAAGTAAACTGCAAAGTAAAGTGGACTGTGTAATTTGAATAAATAGGCTTTTTCCCAAGTTCTGCCATGGAAAGTAAAACACTAGCTTCCTGAAAAAAAAATCACACAAAAATAATATTGGTAGATTATACAAAGGCAAGAGGTTTTCTCCTACTCAGACAGGAATGGATAGTGAAAAATGTATGTGGACTTTGTAATAGATCAGGATACCAAATTCCAGATACAGACAGGACATCAACAAAGATTAGAACAGGTTCTTCAGTGGTTTGTGTGATTGTGGTTTCTCAACAATGCCTGAGAATTTGGCCTTCCAGTCTTCCACTGATTGTAATTAGATAACCAAAATCATATTAGGATGACAGTAGCAGATTTATGTTACTGTTCTGTGAGCGTGACTGAGGAGCAAAGAATAAGATACAATTTCTGTGAGCTTAATTATATGACACTGATCAAGGATTTTCTAATTGAAATCAGAATGCAGAGCCAGAAGTCACTCTAAGAACAAGGAGAAAATTCCAGAGAAGTAATTTTGCTGATGAGTACATGAAGGACTAGGCTAGAATTTGCAAACTTAGGAGTCCCAAATGAGATTTCTAGATATTCAGTATTTTTCCAATAAGAGGTCTGAGTTTTAGAATTGTTTCCTAATGTAGGACTCCCACTAACTCCTGTTAGTCGAGGCATTTGTAATAAGATACCAGTATCTTGGGTTAGGAACCTCAGCTGTGTTAACTCTTAAGCACTCTTTCTGAATGCTGTCATTTACACCAACAATTGAATTTCTGTTGTGAAGGAACTTTATATGTTTTCATGACAAACACCAGCATAATTAAAACCATCTCTAGAAATGCTAATTATTTTTATATACTTTTTTTAATTGGATATCATTCTTAAGGATGCTCAATTTTAAATCATTTTCTCTGTTGAAGTTACTATCTAGCCAGCTCTCTGTCCATTTTACTGCATAATGACATAGGTTTGCTTTAAACACTGGTGATTCTACAGGCTTCTCCTTTTTGAAAGGTGGATCAAATACTGCTGTCACTGTATCAGACTACCCAGAAAGGAATTGGCCTCCAAGGCCCACTGAAGTGGGACTGTTCTGGCTTCTTAATCTGTAAAAATATCGAGGTTATATTTAAAAATAATGGAGAACTACAGGACATACTGATACATTTAGCTGATCAAATCCTTGAAGTAGTCCAGAGCTTAAATTACAAAGAACTTGATGGGATTTTGCCTAATGTAGAAGTGTGGTACAGAAGAAATATTCACGCTACATTATTTTGCTCTACATTACTTTGCTCAGTTGAATTTCAAAGGATGAATTAGTAGAAGCTGTTTGATAGGTTCAGCTAAATTTTTGCTATTTGGAAAAATTTTTCTTTTCCTCTATCCCCACAGGCAGAAGAAGAGAGAGATGATATGGAGAGAGTCAAGCTGGATAACAAAAGAATTCTCTTCAACCTGTTGCCAGCACATGTTGCACAGCACTTTCTTATGTCTAATCCAAGAAATATGGTAAACCAAGATAAAATTTAAATACATGTTGTATGCATGTGGCCCTGTGTGGCTTGGGTCACCTTTCAGTTGTATGTTTTCAAGAAAGGCTTGGACTTTTAAAATTTTACTCATATTTAAATACTTTCATAAAAACTTGTGTTCAAGAATTAGTTTGAGATAATTTCTTTTGCTTTATGGTCCTCATTCTCTAAAAAATTTTAATAAAAATCAGTATAAGGGCATGTTGTTATTTAATATCAGTGTAACCAAGTGTTTGCATGTCAATCACTTTTTTTCAATCAGTTTGGGATATTGGGATTTATCTCACAGTATTGTATGAACTCAGTTTGGTTCTGAATGGTAAAGCATATGATATTCCAGATACTACTGTATTAACCAATCTAGTTCTGGAAAACATGCTTTACCAAAACATGCATTACCAAAACCATCCATTTAAAGTTAAAAATGAAGAGTTATACGTACTCAAGGAAGACACAGTAGCTTTTAACATAAAAAGCTTCAGTGACTAAATAAATTGGTTCAGGAAGCCCTTACCAGAATCCTTCTGGTAATTTGAAAACCTGTAGCACTGGAGTTGTCGTAATATCCATGATACTACTCTTGAGAATTTTGATCAATGTATTGGAATCCCAGAAAAGTGGTTTTGCTTTCTTTGAGCCCTCTAAATTTTTAAGCAGAAACCTTAGCATACAGAGCAGCATTATATTACGTAGGACTCCACAACTCAGGGAAAGATGTGAAGGATCAAGGCTGATTTTGTGCTACAATATAGAATTGCTCCTCATGCTATTTTGCTTATAAAACAAAATTGAGCAAATATGATTGTATTTCTCATACAATAGAAGTTCTACGACTGTTAAGACTTTCTCCAAATTTTTACTCACTACTTCCATGTCTAAACAGAAAAAAAAAAAAAAGAAAAAAAAAGCTAAGTAGTTTCAAATGTGTTTAATACCTTAGGTGTTCATTTTATTTTGTGGTTTTGAATGGAGACATCTTTCAACATTATTTTAAGAAGACTAACTTTCTCTCAAGAAAAAATTATGGCCTTTGTCCTAGCTGTTGTTTAGCAGTATTGTAATAATGATGCTTATTTTAGATTAATCTTTTAAAATAAAAATTATATTTGCTCCTGAACTGCAGGACCTTTATTACCAGTCATATTCACAAGTAGGAGTGATGTTTGCTTCCATCCCAAACTTCAACGATTTCTACATCGAATTGGATGGCAATAATATGGGAGTGGAATGTTTACGCCTGTTAAATGAAATTATTGCTGATTTTGATGAGGTAAGTTCTAACCACTTTGTCTTTTGACCATATGAGTTCTACCAAATTACTATCAACAGAGATTGTCTGTAGTAATTCATCATATCTTGAACTGTTTAATAAAAGAGTAGTGTAAACTTCCTATTTAATCATAATTGATGTTCACTGGGCTTCTCCAAGGTGGCCAGTTTGTACTTTTAGGTACATGAGTCTGACCTCAAATTCCGCTAATACAGAAAGAGTATCAAATGGCAGGTTTTTTCAATGACCTCAAGGTGGGCAAGCCTCAACTTAACCAAAATAATATGGTTTAATGAACTTGCACATATTATCTGATAACTATGGTTTCTTGTCTAAAATATTATGTAATATTTAACAGTTTTATGTTTTAAACAAAGCTTATGGACAAAGAATATTATAAGGACATAGAAAAGATCAAGACAATTGGAAGTACATATATGGCAGCTGTGGGACTCGTACCTACTTCAGGAACTAAGGTAAGAAGATTTTACTCAACAGTCCTTCGTGAAGGCCTGTTTCCTTTCCCTTCAATCTCCAGAGGAGTGTCATAAACATAACTAATTCTATGTGATTGTAGATAACTTAAATGACTTCTTTGCAACATTTTAAATTTTAAATTCAAAGAAAAGCTGTAGCCTCAAAAGAAAAACTGCCAGAGTTGCTCATATGGTTTCACTTGCAATTTCATTCTCTGCAGTTCTGGATTCTCTGCAAATCAATGTATAAAAGCCTCTAAGTCAGAGTGGTAGTTTTAGATGACCTAAGATGCAGGGAAAGGGAGACTCTAGATGTAATGAATTGGTGCAAAACTAGCAGAAGAATATTAAAATGTGGTTTTTACATATTTTTTTTTAATTTGGAAATCTAGATGTAACCTATAATTAAAAGAAATGGCCTTTCCCAGCCCCTATCATGGACAGTTACTTTGTGTTAGGCAGTGTTTCTCTTTACCCTGCTCCCTTCAAATAAACTGTTCTTTGTCTCTGCTGTTAGCATTCTTTTTGCCCTTTTAATTACTCAGCAATAAAAAATGTCAAAGTCATTTCAAGCACCCTAGTTCTGTGACACAGTTCTTTTGTATCTTCATTACTACCCTGAGTGTATTTCTCACCTTAAGTTATTGTCTTGGGACAGAAATTTCCTAGATTTGCAAGCAGGATCTAGAAAGTCAGAAAACTGTGTGGGCAGTATATTGAATATATTGTATACAGAGTACCATGCATATTAATAATTGTAGTAACAAAACTAAATTATTAAAATGTTATAAAATTAATAATATAAGAATATAATGAAAATTAAAACAATCTATTCACCATGTCTACTCAGAGTTTTCAGACAGCTCTCAGCTCTCCCTTGTTCTGATACGCATGTACGTACGTTGTAGACATATGTTATATACACCTATATATACAGTTTAACATTGAAAAATAACGTCAGATTAAAGGGTAAAAACAAAAAAGGGCAGAAGATGTCCTGTGAATTATTATCCCTGCTAAGTAAATAAAAAACAAGACCACACTCAAATCAACTGTTAGAATCATGTTGGAATATATCACATGCAACTAATTTTCTGGTCTGCAGGGTATTTGCAGCCAATGCTTTCCTTTGTATCATTCCTAGAAATCTACATATTACAAAAAAGGTATTTTGAAAAGTCTGTTTATCCTGAAATGTTTGACTCATGGGTCCTGAGACAGGCAAAAAACATTGAACCTTAGAATTTTTTTCAGTGTGTGATCTCGGGCAAACAGGCAATATGTCTGCTATAAATGCTCTTTGAACTATAATGCTCAAAACAAGTGTGCTATTGGGTAACTTTGGCAGCATATGTTCCAAAATCTAGACATGTTTGTCTCTTGTATTTTATAGCTGTTAAGTGAAGGGTCAGCTGAGTTAACCCATTACTGAAGATATTGCTCTGAGCTTATGATAGTAATGCATTTGAAATCACTGCAGAAAGGCTTACCTTTCTCTTAAATCTTGGGGCAAATTTTAATCTTTTCTGCACATGTAGAATTTACTCAACATTCTATATTCCAGAAAAAAAAATCTTGCATTAAACAATTAATATTTTTACTTCAACTTGGGATTTCAGCTCTTTTTGTTCTCTTCCAACTGCTTATGTGGTGCAATTGAATAGAAATTATTCACATCCTCTTGGCAGTTTCCCAATAGGACTTCAGCATGCAGTTATGTATTAGAAGTCTGATAATGCTGGCTAGCCTGTCATGCATAGCTGATCACTTCCAGCCATCACACAGTCCCTGGGCTGCCCTACAGAGTAATATGTGTCCATGGGGAGCCCTAAGAGACTCAAGTGCTTCTAGTGTGCCCTCTGTCAGGAGCATCCCAGCTTCAACAGAAAATCTGGCACAGCCTCTGATTGTGAGCAACTCATTTCATACTAGGATTTGGACATAAGCAGAAAAGAGTGGATCAGGTTAATTGTGCTCTTAACTGAAGATATTTACACATGTAAGAGCCCAGTACCCTGATGAAGTTAAATATTTAAATCCCATATTTTAGAGGACTGTTGTTTCTGCAGCTTGGCTTCAGCAGACGAATAAAGTAAATGCACATTACCTCTATCAGAGTGGCTTTGCTGTGATGCTCTGGGCAGTCTTTCCAGTAACTATTCCTCTGATATTTAAATGCCCATCAGGGCAACACACAAACCAAACTCTTTGTAGATCTTTCACACAGTATAAAATCATTGTGTATGTATTTCACCAGGATCCTGACTTCACCAGGGTCCTAACTTTGTAGTGTTCTTCAGTGCAGGTTCAAAAGAGTTTGCCAGTAAACCTATTGAGATGTATCTGTGACCTGCAACACATCTACTATTTGTCACAAGTCCTCTCTCCTGCGACCCTGAAGGGCATTGCAGGAAAACACAGCATTCATCAAACAGCAAAGAAACAGAAGGATAAGGAGTATAAAGAAGATTAGAAATTGAATAAAACTATGCATGACTCCTTCCCTCCTCCAGACATTCAATATTTTTTCCTTCTCTGTTGGAACGGTAGCCATCAGCTCTTTAAGCTTAATTCTTGTTCTTCCTTTTTCTTGGTGATGCTGGAAAAGAGCAGAGCTAGCTAGTTGACACTGTAAGAAGCTGAGTTCCAGACATCCAGGCAGGTAAATAAAAAGATTTTTTTTTTTCCAAGATTGGGACTGGCCCAAGGATGATTTTATAATTTTTTGTTAGCACTGATTTTTTGTGAATTTCCCAGTCACATGGAACAACCCTTTCAAACTGAGCAGAATAAAGCAAATAGCAACTGGTTTCTCAGGTTTGTCAGCCACTGTCAAGCACTGCATTTATAAAATCTCGCTATGATGGCAAAAACTCAGCAAGCTTTCATCTCATGCCAGCTTCCACAGTCCCATTGTGCAACACCCTACTGAATCTGCCACTGACCCTGTATTTCTTTCACCATATCCTACCTTTAGCCCACTTTTACTTTGCAAATCTGTTCAAAAATTCATATTTCTTATTCAAATAAGAGCAGAACATAAGAGCAATCATACTGAGTCAAATCAAAGGCTTATTGTAGTAACCTGTCTTTAACTAACCATAGGTAGATCCAGGAGGAAGGGCATGAGTTACAGGACAAATTCACAAACCTCTCTTTTCTACTTGCTAATGATATGCTGTTTAAGAAATTCTGGAGTTAATGTCTTTTTATTACTTTGTAGCAAATATTTCTTTCATGAGTTTGAGTAATTATGTTAGATTCTTGTGAAGTTTTGGAATCACAATATCCTCTGACCATGAGCTCTACAGTTTAATAAATTAGCCTGAAGTTGTAAAAATTATTTTCTTATGTTTGGGGTTTTAGTTAAAAATTGATACTTTGCATTTCATTTGATCCCTTCTGAATCTTTTGCTATAGTTCATTTAGATACGTTTTATAACAAATCTCTTCAGCTTGCTTGGAAAGGAAAGAACATAGGGGTGTTCTGTGTCTCACAGGATTAAATGTAACAGAAATTTTATCAATGGGAACAGCATGAACCCCATGGAGTTGGGAGCTAGCAAAAGCCCCAAAGGGAGAAGAGGGCAGAAACTGTAGTTATTAATAATCACCAGGCAAAGTAGTTTTGTAAGAAAGCAGGTTATATTCCCTGCCACACTCACAACAAACATCTGCAGCTCTCTAGCAACAGAACCACTTTACCATGGGAACTTTGCTTTCCATTCTTCCCAGAAATCAAAAAGAAAGAGAGAAGAAAAAAACAACAACCAGCACTCAAGAAAAGAATGCATGTGCTTTAGCTACCATTAAAAGTTTCTTTTCACACACAGGAAAATTGGTTAGATTCTTTTCCTAAGCCATCTGTCCTGTTTCTTATTGGTTTTCACTTTGGTATTTCACCTGCCTCTCAGTATCATACAAATCTAATGTGCAATACTATTTTGTTTCTAGGCTAAAAAATCAATTTATTCCCATCTGAGTACACTGGCAGATTTTGCAATAGAGATGTTTGACGTTCTTGATGAAATCAACTATCAGTCCTACAATGATTTTGTCCTGCGCGTTGGTAAGTCACGTTTCTACAATTATCACACAAGCAGAACATTGTTTTTTGTTGGCTTCCCCTGTGCTGTCAGCAAAGGATTACCTGTCCTGCCCTCACGATTAAAGCTGAAAATTCTCCTTTAGTGAGAAAGTCACCTTCACATAGAAGGTCAGCAGGATGGATGGTATGCATTAGTATTAAGGAACTACAATTGTGTCCAATTCCAGTGTGTTTACTTAATCTAGGCACCCCTAAAAGGAAACTGCACAACTAATTTAATGCAAAATTATGAGTGTACCCAGTCTTGTGGCTTACGCTGCTTTGCATTGCTAAACTGCTGAAAACTGCATCTTACTCTACTTAGCTATTAAGTTGCAGCTGCAAAAGCTTTGTTGGCATTAAAAGTGTGATGGGAGCTTTTTGTCCACAGATGCCTTAACCAGTCCTGTTTTCTCCAACAAATCAAATCCTCTGGTCTTCACAACACAACCCTTCCCATGCAATCCTTTACACGTTATTACATGTCTTACCACTCAGAGTCCTTTCTCACAATCTTCTTAGAGATCAGGTTCCCCTCTTCCCCTTCTTCCCTGCATTCTGCTCCTCTCCAGTGTTCTCATTTCATTGAATATTCTAAAACAGATACTTTTCTCCAGCTTCTTTCTTCATATATTTTCATGGCTGAATTGTGAGAATAGGCTGGACAAGGGAAAAACAAAAGTTGCTAGCAGTGGAATATTGAGAAAGACCCAAGACATCAAAGGCAGCAATAGGAGAGTTACACATATTTATACATCCTAATAATTATAAACCCCAAATTCTCTTTGAACTCTGTTATAACTGGTCTTTCCAGGTTAACAAAGGATCAAATGTCTAACCCCCATTCTTCTGCATAACTTGTCTGGGAAAGCCCTCACATTGAATCTTATGCAGGGTTTAGTATTTGCAGCTCTTCAGGGCACTCAGAAGGAACATATACTCTTTTATCTTCCAAACAAGGTGTCAGATTTACTCAGAAATGTAGAATCAAGCTCTGCAGTTTCCCAAAAAAAGATGCTTGAGCCATTTCCAATCCTTTTGTCTTTTTCCTGATCTGAGTTGTCTATTACTAACAGCCAGTGTGACACGCTTCCCTTACCCCAATCCTTGTGTCTTCCGGACCATTATTTCTGTTCCACTTAGAAAACCTCCACTAGAGGACTTTATAAATGCAACTGCAGTGGAAGTTGTAGGGATCAATTAAAGAACTTTAACAGTTTGTCTTGTCTACAGCTAAACTCTGGACTACAACTACTTTTCTTCTTTAAATAAACAAAATCCACCAAAGAATCAAATTTTTATGTTGTCTATCATATTGAGTGTCTAATAAGATATCTCAAGGAATACCTTTGTTTTGTTTATAAACCCTTTGCAAATACAGAAGTCCAGTTGGCATTAAATTCAGCATAGAATCATAGAATACGAGTTGGATGTGTCCCATCAGGATCATCAAGTCCAAATCCTGGACCTGCACAGGACACCTCAAGAATCCCACCATGTGTCTGAGAATGTTGCCCAAAAGCTTCTTGAAAACAAACAGGTTTAGTGCTGTGACCACTGCCTTGGGGAGCCTGCTCCAGCGCTCAACCACCCTTTGGGTGAAATACCTTTTCTTGATATGTAACCTTAACCTCTCCTGACTCTTCTGACAGCTTCATGCTGTTACATAGATTATGTCCTATGACCAGAAAAATTCAAAGGCACTTGTGTTGAGTCTGTTTTGTAGGATTCATGTTTCACTTGGATAATATGCTGTAGTGTTTGAAACCAAACTCATTGTTTAATTTTAGGTATTAATGTTGGGCCGGTAGTAGCAGGAGTCATTGGAGCCAGAAGACCACAGTATGATATCTGGGGGAACACTGTAAATGTTGCCAGCCGGATGGATAGTACTGGAGTACAGGGAAAAATTCAGGTGAGTGCATTCTAAGACAATTTTGCAAACAGGAAGTTTGCATATGCAAAACTTGCATATTTGCAAGTTTTACATATGGTCACATTTTTTGAGACCACTTAGAAAACACAGCCTCACTTGACCTTCTTCTTATGAAAAGGGCAAGACTTTCCAGATGACTCAAGCATCAGAGATATAGTTGTTTTCCATCTTATACACTTCACTCCTTGGAGACAATGAAATCCTTAAATAAATCATTTCCCATTAGAAGAAAGTTCTCTGCTTCATTGCACACAGTTGGAGGCAGGCCTGGGAATCCTGACACTGCCAGTCCTTGTACTGAAGAAATTTTGCCTGAATAAGACCTACAAGGAAAGGATCTATGTCTGTTTGCATCTTACTGCATTTTATGTAGCTTTAAAAATTCCTTTGATACTTTGGGTTGAAGAGGCAATGCAGACAGAGAACACTGTTGTTCTACTAGGGCTTGGCTAGAAGCTGTGGTGTACCTCTCAAAAGCTCCATGAACTCTTGCAGTCTTTTATCCAAAATAACCTGTCTTATCTCCTGGGATCAAAAGGTCTTCTACAGTAAATTAACGTCACTGAAACTCATTGAGCTTACAATTTGGTTATACATTTCTGTTGGACGGAGCCTAATCTGGCTGTGTAATTATTCGGCTCAAGACCAGAAGTTCTGCTTCTCAGATTCCAGTTCAATTGGTAATCTTTACTTCTTTAAGAAAATTCTAAGTGAGCCTGAGAGCAGCTGTAGGTGTTCGTCCATTGTGCTTATGCATATTTCATGACAGAAAAGTAAAATGGAGAGGGGTGAGAAGTTACGTGAACAGAAAAAAGTAATAGTTGGTTTTTTCTTTCTGTCTTCAGGTGACAGAAGAAGTTCAGCGGATATTAAAAAGGTGCAGTTATGAATTTGTGTGCAGGGGTAAAGTCAGTGTAAAGGGAAAAGGCGAAATGTTGACCTACTTCCTGGAAGGAAAGGCTGATGGAAATAATTCCCAAACACGGTCTTTAAACTTAGAGCGGAAAATGTACCCTTATGGGAGGGCAAACATCCAAACAAAACTAGGCACCAGCTGTCCATCGGTGTCCTCAGCTGCTAGCTTTACTGCAAAACCTGGGCTTGGAGCAGGTCAAGCGTCTGCCACTCACACAAATCAAACACTGCATTATCTTCCTTCTGTGCCAGCTGTGAAGGAGGCATAGAACAAAGGAGATTTGGTTGTGCCATCTGCAGTGAACTTGGAGAGCAATGGTTGACTGAATTTTTACCAAGAGGTCAGAGGTCATAGGCCATGGCATTAACCAAGGACCACTACAACCCAACCAAAGAGAACTTGGGGACTCTGTAACAAACTCTTGGGATGGAACATATAAGGGCTAGCAATTCTGTTAGGAAAAGTCAAAATGAGATTTTCTGGAAATGAGGAATATTTTCGTGGCATTTTTAAAGGGTAGTTGAAAAAAATTAGATATATGTGCAAGCAATTATTTATGTGTGTGTGTATATATATGTTTTAATCTATATATGCACATATACAAACAGTTCGGAGTAGACTTAATAGAGATTTATAGAGATAAACAAAAAATGTGTATTTATTTACACATCCACCTGCAATGACATAGTAAAGAGATTTCTTTCTGTCATAGCCAGCATTGTTGGGCCTGGGATTAGGAAAGCATCATTTCACTGTGGAATATGGGGCACCTGAAGACTCTTCAGGGCTACGGCAAGAGTTAGAGAAACTGTGCTCCCAGTGCATGAGTTAAAGCAATGAGAACAGTGTTTATTGTGCTGTCAATGGCAGGTTAATGAAGGCTGGATTCAGCTTATTACTAAACTCTATGTTCTCCTTGCATGCTTCAAAAAATTCTGATCAAAGCATAACACTAGGATATGAAGTAGGTAAACCACACAGCTTAAAGTTTAGGCAGAAGAACAATATATATTCTTTCCATTAAAAAAAAAAAAAAGGGTGGTAGAGTTTAGAAGTTACTGCCTCTTTGTAGGTCATTTGACTCTGTGCAAGACAGAGGAGCCACCCTGCAAGCACAGCAATATGCTTATGCAATATAGAAACATTCCTTTATGTATAATGCTGATTTTATTGAGGAGCAGAAGGATGGTATTATTTCAGGCTTTTAGAAAGAGCACAGGTCTGGCTCAGTTCCAGGATTAGCTTTACCTTTCTAAACAGCTCAAAGAATAGTCCTGTACTGGTGCCAAAAATGCTGTTGCTAGTTTTGTGACATTTGTATGTTTGCCAACATAATTTTACATCTTAACTGATTTTTAAATTTATGCCACAGTTTTATTATATCTTGGTTCTATCCAGGCTCACTCTTCAAAGTTGTACAATTATAGAAAGCTATAATTCTGGGAAACAAGCAGTCAAACTTTGCCCAAATAAGGAGCATGGGTAAGGGTGCCAGGAGAGTGAGGCCTGCTCTTAATCTGCATAAAAGGGAACATATTTTGACTGCTTTTTTCTTTAATGCAGCCCACATCCTTTTGTTCATGGTTTCATCTTGAAATGCTGACTTGGATATGAAATGTGGAGTGCATCTCTGTACTCGAGGTGGGGGAAGTTGGAGGTCATGCTACTGAGTGACATGTACTCTATAGACAGGTGCCATACTGTCCTGATGGGGATTCACAGGTTAACTAACCTCACTGCTTTCCAAAAGAGAAGCAAAACTTTACATCATCTAAAAGAATGCAAAATGTCCTTTTAACAAAAAAAAAAAAAAAAAAAAAATCCCCATTTCCCCTGCCAAAATGTGAAGACCAAAAACCACCACCACGACCAACAAAATGAAAAACCCCACTCTAGACTACAGAATTTGTCCAGATTGTACAATAGAAAACTTGTGTATAGATGTCGCATTTCCCTTTAGAGGGCCAATTTTATTACACGTTTCAGTGGAAAGAAGATTCTGAGTGATTCTTCTGCAATAAGCTTTTGCTTTGGAACAGTCACTGTTTGTGTCAAAAGTATATGGACAAATACTGTGTCAGCAGATGCAAATAGTTTTAGAAATGTTACAGGAATTCCTGTTCTTCATGTAGCCACATCAGGCTACTGTGGGACTCCAGTGGTTTTCAGCAGGGTTTTAAATTAATTTTTATGTACCCTGTCAGCAAGGTGCTTCATGCAAAGCCAGGAAAGTTAGTGTTGTGATTACAGTGACTATAAAAACCTGAGAACTGCTTCTTAACTGTACTGTACAGGGTGTCTGCATCCTGGTTGATCTGTAGAAAGATTTCTTTATCTCCCTAATCACTATCCAGTTCACAGTTATTTTCTAGAATAATTTGTTTCCGGTTTTGAGGCATCCAAAGCCATTTAAATAAATACATGTAGAGAATGCAGATACAAAAGAACAAATATTTACATAATTAAACTGAATAAGTGGTATTCGTGTAAATCACACTGCATATTTGTGTTGTCAAATTAGTTTTTAAGAACTAAATTATCATGCAGTTAAGTTAAATATTTAACCAAGTCAGAAAGCATTATGTGCAATAGCATTAATCACTCAGTTCCACTCTTAAAGATTCCATGCTACACAATTTTTGAATCAGTGAATGTGGTATAATTTCAGTGATAATAATAGAATAAAAGAATCTTCAGATTTTAGCAGCAGATCTGTTAGTACATGAACACATCAAACAGATACACTCATTGACTGACCCAAAAGTTTGTAATGAAATTATTTATTTGTTATGCTTTTTATTAGGCCCAAGATATAGGCATCTTGCCATTGCTTCTTTGATCACTGAATGGTCAGTGAGCAGAAACAGATTGTCCCCTCTGCTAATATTTTTGTGACTGTTCACATTCACAGACCCATTCCCAGCCTGCTAATGTCACTGGGAGATCAGGTAGCAAGGTAAATTTGGATTATTTATTTTGAAATATAAGCAGGTGTTAGTAGAAAAGGTCTGAAGATTTTCTAAACCAGACCCTCCTTTCCAACAGCCAAATGAGGCATGTGACTTTTGTAAGAGCATTTTCCACGTCGAATGGAAAGGACCAGACAGGAACAGTCCATCATCAGCTTCTCATTGGGCACTTTTGCAGGAGGTTTGTGCCTCTCAGAGCAGGTTGAGTGGACCAGGATGGCTTCTTGGTAGTGCAGGCAAGCTAATGCACGTATGCGATCTTACAGCATCAATTATGGTGTATTTGGAGTCAGTTTCCAGACTTTTGAGTCATAGAATCATGAAATGGTTTGAGTTGGAAGGGTCCTTAAAGACCATTTAATTCCAATTCCACTGCCATAGGCAGGGGCACTTCCAATAGGCCAAGCTAACACTATTCTCATTAGGTTCATCATCATTAATATAATTATCCTATCATTAATGTATTTCATATTTTTGTTATGGTTGTTGTTGCTGGTTGTACTGTGAGGAAAACTATATATTACTATGTAGTCCTTGACTGAGTAGTACAAAGTCATGAAAAAAGTTCAGCCAAGGCACAAATTAGTAAAAAATCATGTGAAAATGACAGGCAGTATTCAGCAGCCATTTCAACAGGGAAAGCTAAATGCCCATTGAAATCATGATATGTTGCAGCTGTGCTTTTACCTTTATGCTTTCCCTCCCTATTCATATAATTTTCCCCATTTTCCTCTTCTGTGTAAATTTGTTTAACCCCAGCTCTTGTGTGACAACTTTAAATAACGTACATAATTTCTCTGCTCTTCTGCATTCTTTGACATGTCCGTAGGTTTCATATGTGGAAAGAGGGGGAAATATATATGGAAGTAATATTTCCAAAAACTCTACAAATGCACATTTTCTGCCAAATTAGATAAGCTTGTAATCAAATTTTTATTGGCAATTGACCTAAGATGGTATGTGGAATTTGTATTGTGTCCACCTTACTGCATAAAGTTGTATTTCTTATCTTGCATACATTAATTTTCTGGTCAAGCACTTAACTTTTGCCTGGCTGACCTTGCTGTAGCCCCATCAAGGAGTCAGCTCTGCATCCTCGCAACTAAAAGTCCCTTACATTTATCTGAGGATAGTAACTTGTTGCACTGTGGGCAGAACGTCCACCTGTCTCCTGTACTTATGTTCACTGTTTTGTGCAGCAGTTATCTTGAAACAATTAACAGATATAAGCCCTAAAACAAAGTGATGCCATTTTGGCATGTCAGTGTCTGTCAACAGCAAGCACAATATTTCACAATAGTTTGCACGTTTTCTCTTTCAGATAATAGTAATAATTGAAGTCTTTCATTCTTTATATAAGGATATAAGTATCAGAGATCTTTCTGAGTGTTTCTATAGTACCTTTGTCTTCAAATGATTTTTTAATTATTATTCTCTGCTGAGATTGCAGGCTGGTGTTCCATTGAATTACTGGCTAGATATTTCCAAATGTATTCCATTTACATTGACTAGAAAGCTATTTTATCCAGCCTGTAAAATGCACTAGATTTTTGTAGCTGCTTCCCACTGGGGCAAGTCACACACCCTTATCTTCACCAAAACACATGTGAACACAAAGCTCCCTTGCTTTCTTTAGGTGAGACCAAGAGACAAAATCTTCAGCTTGTTAGGGCTGTACCCACAGGGTACCCACAGGGCTGTACCCTTGTGTACCCACAGGGCCTGCAGCAATCACCAGGAGTTTAGCATGCTTGTGAAGGTCAGGAATTGAGCTTCTGTAGGGCAAGTTCTACTTTGGATTATAATGATGTCTCATGTCAGTACTGAACTGAACATTTTACAACACTGTAACCAAGAGTAGGTCATGCACCTGAATCTCTTTCACACTTTTGCCTGTAATTTATCTGTAGGGCAAAATAAAGTACTTGGGAGTCACTGTTTTAAGGGAAATCTGTGCCATTTCAGTGCTTTGAGGAGTCTGAACACATTAGTAAGTAGCATGAACCATTTTCATTGGATTCCTGCTTGTAGCAGAAACAGTGCATTTTCTTTACATCAGCAAGTCCAGATTCTGTATGTGTTCTGCCCAGGCAGGAGGACTATTTAGCCATAATGTTCTTTCAAGTTAAGGGTTTTGTATTACAGTGAAAATCAACATTTTTTAATTTGTGATAAATCTGTATTATAATGCCTTATTTATTTTTAATCTTGTACAGTGTTACAAAACAACAGAAAACATAGGCCTTTCATGTATTATTCACTTTAAAAGATGTATTGTACTATGAAATTTTGTAAATAGTTTTAGCTTGGACAGGTAATTGCATGTACACTTGTATAAAAAGAGGCAAAAAGGCACACTTTTAACAAAAATTAATGACTTTTGTAAGAGACATTTTACATGTGCATGAAGATTATATATCCTTTGAAAATGTATGTCCTTTTGGTTTTCCTTGCAATCTACTGCATGCCATTCATGCCTGATTCAGTAAAACAAAACGAACCAGTAAATTTTCCTAAATGTTTTTAACATATCACTTCTGGCACAGTTAATCCACTAGTTGCATGTGCATTCAGCAAATCAAAATGCAAACAGCAAATAAAGAAGAAAAATAACTTAATGATTGCGATCTGCCAACCTCAGTGTTCCAAGGTCCACAAAACAGTATATGAAAAGTGTTATCAACATCTAAGATGTCTTCATAAGGTACCTTCTGGTCACTAGAAGCAATAAACTACTTACTGTAATATAAAAAGCAAACAGATATTCTAGTTCATAATGGTGTAATATCTGACATTCAATGGGTATTGTCTGATACTGCATTTGATGTAGTATTTTCATCATGAAGGACCAAGTGTCAAATCTGTCCTTGCTGTATGCAGGTGCAACACTATGGAAGGTAAGGGAGGTGAATTTGGCCCATTGATGTTACCCAGAGTATTCTTCTAATGTGGTAATAAGTTATTGTATGTGAAAAGTACATCATGCAAATACGTTGTTTTCCTGGATACATACATATATATATGTATGTATATTTTTTATATATATAAATTAATTTTGTTGCCTTATTTTTGTTAGCTTTTTTACTCATTTTCCAGATAGTTTCTATTGCTAAGCAGAAAGTATTTAACTAATCTATTAGGATTCATTGAATTTATCTGGCTTTGAGTCATCTGTATTCTGTGCTGATGCCATCCTTACAGTGATGCCTCCCTTAGGCATCACAGCCTAACCCTCAGCTTGAGGCCCATGTCAGCTAGTGACATAGAAATAAGAAATCAGTATCCAGTCCTCTATCTGATTTTTTTCCATAATGCTGCTAAACAAAACTTCAAATTCTGGAGGTATTTTGCATGCCTCGTTTTTAAATTTGTCACATCCATGTCACTACAGCTCAGGATTACTTCTCAAATTACTTATATAATTGCTGTATTATAAAGGAGGATTGTTGGAGGAGCATAACACTGATTCTGGTGGCAAAGGAGAAAGAGCATGGAGTATGAATACTTTCTGCTTTGGATAAGGACTTCTTGTATTTTACAATTTGAGCTAGTTTTATAATAGGACTCAGAAATCTGTTAATTTGTTTGTTTAATCAGGTGATTGTAGGGTTAATTAAGCAGTACAGCTTCTGCAAGTACTTTTGCCATCCTGAATTAAGATGCATATTCATACAATATATCCCTGTTGCCTGCATACAAGAATCACTACCTTGTACTGATGATTGGCTTCATTACAGTACTAACAGTCATAAACTAACTTCTCTCAAATTCAGTGGGTTTTACATTTCAGTGTAGCATAATTGTTGTGAATAATGACAATCTGGACACTGCTTCTCTACCCCAACCCTGTTTATGATTGGCTTTTTCCAGAACTCTGTGTAGGCTATTTTTAGCTCTTTGATCCTTTTAGTCCCACCTCTCACTGAGTTTTCAGCCAAATCTAAAATACATTAATGTAAATAAATATTAAAAGTATGAAAAGTATAAAAAGTATAAACGGAGGGGCTGCTGTTGCTCTTTAATTACTCTTTAAAAGTACCACACTGCTTAGGTGGCCTGGATGTGACTTACAGTCTGATTGGTGCAAGGACAAAAACAAGGAAAGAAATAAAAAAAGAAGGACAAAGTTAGCAAGAGTAGAAAATAACAAAAAAAGAAACCTGTGAGATAGCAGTTGCTGAAAGAAAAATTTGAAAGGCCATTAGTCCTTTGGAAGTCAGTGGTAAAACATGGAATAGGTCTGGAGTATCTGAGCTAGCAGAGTACTCAACAGGATTCATAGTAAAACAAAAATAAGCATTGTATTTAACTGCATGGCCAGTTCCATTTCCAAGCTTTTGTGTCAGTTCACATTTACAAGAGTGTCCAAGATCTCTTGGTGAACTACTTTCAGAATTTCAGAAGGAATAATTAGATATAGCTTGGGGTTGTCACCTTTAATGCCTATTTTCTGATCATGAGAAAGCACTTTGAAATTTGAATTAGTATTGGTTAACGTACATAACATATGTGCTGAAAGGACTTGGTTTTGCTTGTGCCTTACTGCATGCTGGAGGATCTGTTTCTTCACATTAGGATCCCCTTTTTATGCCTTCAGTGGCATCAGACATGTCAGACCTGCATAAAACTGAAGGAAGAAACAGTGTTGCATCACTGTGAAGCTTTTTTTCTAATTCCTTTCCTACTTTGGTTTACTATGAATACAGCTGTGTGGATGCAAGGAGTGCTCCAATTATTTGTGGAGGGTACCCATACACAGGTATACATGTGGGTCCAAGCTAAAGAAGGATAGATTTCCTAGAAAGCTCAGCAAACACAGTGAGCCCACTTGTGTAGAAAATCTGTCCAGATAGTTTGGAGCTCCTTTGAAAAACTTGGCTGCCCTGCTCTTTAGAACAGGCTTATATTGCAACATGTTGACTAAAAGCATCCAGGACACTTACCCACAGCTTGTAACTGCACTGTCACATTTGCTAGATGTAGGTTAGCCTGCTGGTAGTAAAACAGCTAACAGTTCTTGTTGTGGGCTAAAGTGGGCTTTAAGTACTGTGGTTATGTGCACTATCGTGTCTTACTTTCAAGTGCCTGACCTTCTGATTTAATCCTAGACCTGTCAATACTGGCATCAGTTATGAAAAATTTCAGCTGGCACATCCAATTTACTTAGGCGATTTCTCATGTCTTTTGCTCTTTAGTGCACACAGGTGCAAAGGTTTTGTGTTCTTAGACTTCAAATGCCATTTGGGCAATATATCAATTTTCAATGAAATGTAGATGAATATTAATTACCTGTGGCCTCACAAAATTGCTTCATGATAATTATATTTTTAATCGCTACAGTAGAAATCCTTCTTTGCTTGGATTTCCTACTTTTTTATTGTAACATTAGTGGGGTTCAATCAGGAAAAAACAATAAGCAAAGTGATTGCATTTGGACTAACCAAATGATGAGTTTGTTTTCTACATTCAAGCAGCAGGTCATTACATGGAGGTAGCTTTGAAAAATGTTACAAGAAGAATGACAGCAATGCTTTTAGAGTTACTGTTTTAAAAACCAGAATCCAAGAACAGTTACCATTTCTAGCATAAATAACTTAATACAGAGAATCTTAGAGCAATGATATTATTTTCAGTGAAATGCTCACAGAGGTTAAAAACCTCTTCTTGGAGATTCTTTTTCCATAATATACTTGTCTGTGTGCAAGCTATTCCTTTGTACATGGAATGTGGATAATGGTGCAAAACAGTAGTAATACATACATTTCAGAGTTTCTAGCAGATTCAGCCAAATTTGACCCATTGCTTAAAATCCCTGTGGCTAAAACTTGTGTCACAACTGACATCTGTCTGGATTTTATCGTGCTGGTAAGCTCTTGAATTCTTGCTCTCCGGAGGTTAATTTCTGCCCTTCTGGTATATCATTATACATTCTGCTTGGAAATGAGATGTTAAATATTTTTCCAATCTGTTAATTTAAAAGATTTAAAAGTGTTTTATAATTAATGTTCAGCAGCCTAAGGTAGGAAGCAAAAGACCACATGAAGCATGTATTCTGCAATCAAAATTAGCCTGCCTACACATGATGACAGACTACATTGTAGGCTTATCCATAATTTTTAGCACCTTATATATATTTAAACGCAATAAATACCATAGCACTAAGAGCAGAAGGAGCTGGGCACACCTACCTGCCTCTTAACACCACATAAGTCTTTAGATGTAAAAATGTGACCTGCAGCTTCTTGAGAGATTGGTGCCCCTTCTACCCTTAACTCATCTTCACTGTGCCATCATATATTTGTGTAGGTGTTTACTGTCCACTCAGGCCTGCTTTACCATCTCCTTGTATAGGTCCTCCACCACATGGCTGTCAAAGTTCATTTTCAAAAAGAAAATATATTTTTAAAAAGTAGACTTTTTCATATAATAGATGTTTAGGGGAAAAGAAATAGCTTTGACATAATCTGGGTAGGAAGCAGTACATGTGACAGCAACCCTGAAAGCACAAGTGGCGGGAATGCAGGTGCCAGCAGCTGGCAGCAAGCTGGGCAGTGAGGCTTCAACCTGCCAGCAGCAGGCAGAGCAGCATCTCTGTCCCAAAGAAGAGGCATAGATAAGCAAGAGGGGGGCAGCCTAATTCATGTTCCCTAGCAGTTTACCAAACCTGTGCAAACCTATAGGTGCAAACCTATATTAGTTGCAAACCTATTTCAAGAGCAGTTATGTTGTCTGTGCCTGGATGCCACTCTCTATTGAAATCTTAGAGCGAGGAAAGATACTGTCTTGGAGTATTACAAAGCTGGTTGAAATGAAAGAAGTAGAATCTTATCAGCTGCTTAACCTGCAGATGTTTGCAGCAAATTCTGCGTTGCTTCTGAACTAACTTGAATATTTGCTTGGGCTTTGTGGAAAAAGCATTATTTGCATCCAGTAGAGATATTCCATTCCTCAAAGGGAAAACCAAATGTATTATTCTCTCTATTTAATTGGCATTAAAGGTTTCAGTAGAATTTTTATTCCTCTTTACAGCCCAGTAAAAATAATGAAAATATTAGCATCAGTGATTATTGAATTATTAGATTAGGCCTTATTCTAGTGACTATTCCTCCCCTACTGGTGTCAGATAGGGTGTTACAGTGACTTCAAGGGGACCAGGAGGAGATCCACTGTATCACAAAAGAAGCATCTACATAGGTAAAATGAATAGTCCTAACTCTAAGGAATGAACTAGTAAGTCAAGATGTCATTATTCCAACTATTATAGCCCACTGAACCTATAAATAACCTTTTTATCTTTATAGCTATACACTATATATGTATGTATATACAGAGTACAATACAATAACTTAACACTGGGTAACTTCTAATGATTGATTTGCATTAATAATACGGGTCTATTTTTATGTAAATAGAATACTGTAGAGTATCTTCCAGGCTTTTTCAGGATTGTTAAATTGAGAAGAGCAATTGAATATTTGTCCTATTTTTATGTTAAAAAGTGAATGGACTGAAATGTTAAATGTGAATGTAAATTTCTTATTGCAACTTTTATACTGAGTGTTTGCACTATTATAATTTCTGGAATCTAATTAAAATAAAGGAAAAAATTTGCTTGAATAAACAGCTTTTTGAGATTATTGTTTTGATTTTGGTTTGGCTTTCTGTGGGGGATGGGAGGGCAGGAGTGGTGCTGTCTTTCAGAGGGTCCCGCTGCAGCTTCTCAGTTTTCAGACTAAGAACATGCCTCTAGAAATCCTCTAATTTTGCTTTCAGAATTACTGTGAACTAAATAATCTCATGGGAACAATTCAACTCCCTTTTGAGTCCTGTTGACTTCTGCATTGACCACAGTGGAAGCCAGCTTGAGCCAAGTGTGCCATTCATTGCACAAGCAGAGGAAAGTAAACGTGCAATAACTGGCAAAATACCAGCCCCATTCATCAGAAGACGGGGAGGGGAAGCTCATCTCTTGCTTTTCACAAGACAGAAAATATTGGTCAGCTTGGGCCAAGTGTAGATTTTGTAGGCAGTTTATATTGTGCAAGACACACAGCCAACCTGAGTGCAAAAATGTGTAGGTTAACTTAAACTTGATTTGAAAACTGATAAAGTTGTATCAGGTAACGCGCCTTGCAAGAGACTCACTAAGCTTGAGTAATTCAAATTAACTTCCAAATTACAGCAGACTCCTATCTGGCCAGCTCAGAGCAGAAGCAGAGGTGCTCAAGTGCCTCATTCCTGTCTATGCAAATATGGGGGTTTTATTCTAAATGCTAGAAAAAGTCTTCTCAGCTGTTCTTCTTGCAGTGTAGATAATTCGTACAGAATTATTGTGTTGACAGAGAGTGTGATGGAAATGTTCTTGGTTTGCCCTTGCACCAGTGAGAAGTGTTTGAGGTCTTATTTAGCCATTTTTCTGTTGGTCTTTCCCCTCTGAAAGACAGCATGCCAAATCTTCATAAGTGTCAATCAGAATAACTGCTGAAGTCAAAAGGACATAAACTGAAAATCTGGCCTTCATCTTTCATTGGAGCTGTTCTGCCACATTGATACTTTAAGGCTTCCCTTAATACTACTTTCAGTGTTGTTTTGGGGGATTTTATGTACATAAATACACACAGAGCTATTTATACTTGTGTTTAAAATACATACACTCACATACACGTTAACAAAATCGCGTACGTTCTGGATTAATGGGTTAGGTCATTACTTGGAAACATATTTCTGCCATGCTCCATTACATAGCTGAATCACTTCAGAAACAGTATGAAAATCTGTTTTTCTTAAAGAATGAGGCAGTATCAGCACTAGATTGCTTATATCCTCTGGTAGCACTTCTGGACTTGAGGAATTCCAGAAAGACTACAATTCTATAGCATAAACCCAGGACTGAAACTGGAGTTCTTGTCCAGAAGTATTACCAGATGATAGTGTTGATTTGAAACAGGCAGAAGGGAAGCATAGAAAATGAGAACATTGTGTACATCCCCTATTGTGTATGTTGGTGCATTGCCATTGTATCTATGTCAAAGTCTTCCAGTTTTGCAGCCATTCCCTAGAGCAAAGGGTCACCTAATGCCCTGTTTCTGCTGGCAGAACATGATGTTCAATGGAAGGAAAAAATTATACAGGTGTCAGTCATGGACCATATTCTTGTTTATACTATTCTGATGAAAAAAAAAAAGAGAAAGTCTTAGCTGTAAAGTGAGCCACATAGGAGAAATTGTTTGTGACAGTTTTAGCTCTCATTAAACCCACTGAACTGTGAAGAGATCATTTAAGGATGGATATCTTGGGGTATAGTCAGGCTTCATAGGAATCCTGATCTGATCCTAAACATCCAGTCCTGCACAGATTATTTCTGCTATCAGTTTCAGTGTAGTTTTCCAGGCTCAAAGCTCAGAGAAGAGAAACTGTGTTTTAATATTATATTAATATAAGCCTCCCAGGCTTATGTTGTTCCTATATTTATAACCAGACATGAGTTGGCTGTTATTAGATTCAGCCATAGAGAGCTAGCAGTGAAGAAGTAGAAAGAGCTAGAAAGTGATGTAGTAGTCATTATTACCATGAATATTTACATTGAATATACAAGGCATAATCTGAAGATGGCAATGATGGCTTTCACAGAGGCAATGTAACATATCAACTACTACACCATCACAGATGAAGCAGATGATCTTCCCTTCCAGAAATGCTCTGCTTCACTAAGTTGGTGGGACTCTGATGAATTCATTAGCTTTCCCTCATCTCAGACCACCTGGGGATTCATCTGCACAATTCTACTGCAATAAGAAAGAGCCATTGATACTCACCTGGCCTTGCCTCCTGCTCAGGACTACACTCAGTCTGGCCACACTACTGCACTGCACAAACACAGCATTTTTAGTTTATTATTAGATGAAATAAAGTAAAACAAATCCATCATTTTCTGGTCGCTAAGAGATTTGAAGTTAGACATTTGTTTGCCATTGGCCAAACTGTGCTCATACTGTTGCCAAAGGTCATGAAAGCAGCACCGACTGTTTTCCCCTGAACTCTATAGTTACTCTGTATGTTTATTGAACTTTGGCAATACTGTTATGTGCTCCTTAGCAGCACTGCCAACATAATTAGAAAGGAGCAGTCATATCAGAAAAGACACAGCAAGTTACTGAGGAAAGGTCCCAGTTTAACATTAACTCAGATTGACTTCTGGGGTGTAGAAACACGTAGAAAGTGTATAGGACACCAACTAGTGAACAAACAACATGCAGACAGGGCACATTGTGGCACTCTGATGAGACTGAAATGGATAAGCATATAATGAAGAGGAGTCATTGACGTAATTACAAAGGCAGATGGTAACACATTGATTTTATCAAGGTCAGTGACCTCTACCGCTATTAAAGAGTACCTGGCTTCTTACTAGTGAGGGAGTTAGACTTTTTGAAGTAAAATATTGATCCTCTAGACTTCTGTATAAAAAAAAAAATTTTATCAATTTGAAATCTCCCTCAATGGTTTTAGACTGACTACATACGATAACCTTGTTTAACCAAGAGAGGCAACAATTTTTAATGCCTTAAGGTTTTATAATTTATCTTCATATAGTAGCATCTTTAAATACATACAAACTAATCCTCCTTTCACATAGACACCAAGCACTGCCTCTGAAGGCAAAGCTGGTACAAACTGAGGGAGGACATGGCACTGAACTTGTCTATAAGGGGTAAAGGTGTGCTTCTTAAGGCTTTTGTTTGCTCAGTCCTAATGTTGCATTAAAGCAGAAAAAAAAATTGGCTGTTAGAATACTATTTTGAATTCCCTGCAATAGGTGGACCTTGGTGAAAAATTTATAACATTAACAGCCAAATTAAAAGCATTTAAGACTCTTTTAAATGGTTCAGAGACAAAGAGCCACATCTCATTGTTCCTCAGGCTCTTACTGAAATTAATCATATAGAAACTGATTTAGACATTTAAATAAGGGTTTGACTTTATGAGCAGCAATGAAACCCACTAAGTGTTTCAAGACTGTGGCTTTGAGTGCACAAAATCAGATTTGTTGTCCGCTGGGACAGGCCAGGTCATAGCAGTCATACCCAAAACCTGTAGAAATATATAACCTGAAGCACACATCATGACTCAGTGTATTGCTAGTTCAGAGACATTTTTTTCTGATAGGTTATGAAATGTCTAAACTATTTACCCAGGATTCCCTAAAGCCTTCCTCTCAGGGTGCTTATGAAGTGCTCCAATTACCAGACTGGAGGGAAAATTATGCCACACATAGGTCTGTTCCTGGACACAGTGGACAAAGGCATTGGTCTAGCCAGAAAAAGGTCTCATTTTCACAATGAAAGATGGGATGTTCCCACAGTTGCAAAGGTACCACTTCCACACTACTACCATAAATAATGCCATATTTTTCTTCAGTGATCTTAGTTCAGCAGAATTCTACCAAATGTGAAGAAAGTCACCCAAAAGGCAAAATCTTTAAAGTTGCTGGAGAGCAAGATCATAAATGTACATAATGCTTTTCAGGCTCTGAAAAGTTTGTTTAACAGTCTACAGAGGATTCATATAGTCCTGAAGGTTTCAGTGAAGATTTCAGTAAAGGTTTTGCTGGTGAAAAGACTGGAAGGCATGTCCTCTGAGGAGCAGCTGAGGACACTGGGTTTGTCTAGTTTAGAGACAAGGAGGCTGAGGGGTGACCTCACTGCTCCCTACAGCTTCCTGAGCACAGGAAGGGGAGAGAGGGATGTTGATCTCTTTTCTATGGTAGTCAGTGCCAGAATGTGTGGGAATGGCTCAAAGCCATGTTCATCAGGGGAGGTTTAGACTAGAAATTAGGAAGCATTTCTTTACCAAGAGGGTGGTCAAACTCTAGAACAAGCTTCCTAGAGGAGTGGTTCCTGTGCCTGTCAGCATTTAAGAGTCATTTGGACAATGTCCTTAATCACATCTTTTAACTTTTGGCCAGGCCTGAAGTGGTCAGGCAGCTGGACTGGATGACCATTGAAGGTCCCTTCCAACTTAAATAGTCTAGTCTAGTCTGTTCTGTTCTGTTCTATTCTATTCTATTCTAAAGTGTCTTCAAAACACATATATAAAATACCTGTCTCCATTGTTTACCCTATCACAAAACTCAGGATTCTCAGTAGAGCCTAGACATGTAATTCTTACTGGAATAAGTGGAAAAAGTACTAAGGTGCTTTTGAAAAGTTCCATTGGCTTCATCTATGCAACTTTCTGTACCTGAAGAGGTTAAATCCACAGGGAATGTTGGACTGTTTCCATTTCAATGTCTGCAGTTGCCAAAGGAGCTTACTAGGACAGAATCTCTTCTCCTTTTGCCCTCTTGTACCATAATGCTTTCCATGCCAAGTGAGGCACTATTCTGCAAAGGTTAGTTCATGATGAGGCCGAAGCCCTCTAAATCTTTTAGGAAACAATTTAATTTCCTTTCTTTTTCCTTTTTCCTTTGTCCTTCTCATTCCTTTAACATTTATTTTAATTTATTCTTTCTACATGATTTTAAATTTAGGAAAGCATTTTCACCCTTATACCTCTCTTAAATTTTTGTTCTATTTTTAACTCCCCTTTTACTCCCCACCACCATTTATATGCTTCCTCTGGCTCTTCCTTCTTCCTTCTAGTGCTTCAAACAACTCATCCCACCATGGGTCATCAGACAGAGTAGAGTGTTGAGCTCTACTTACCAGCCCCTACTTATTATGTGCTTTGTGGAATTCCTCTCTACACCTAAAAACATCAGAGAAGTTGCAAGAGCAGGGAGAGGACCTGAAACTGTTCTGCCCAGGAAAGACTGCACACAGCTTCTAATGGCAAGATTTGTGACTTCATGAACTAGAATTACATATCCAGTTCAATAAATTATGTTAGAGAAGCATATGAGCCAAGGGTTGGTTCAGCATCCAAGTTCCCTTCAGGAGAACTGTTTGGTGCCATCATCAGAGTTGGAAATGAAGAAATGAAAAGGGCAGCAAATGAATAATCACAGTCTCTTAGAATAGACCAGAATACAAAAGGGGAAAGGTATCCATTTTTGTCCCTCTATGTATGTTATTCCTTGGTAAACTGAAAAATAATTCCAGTTTTGCCCTGTTCCAGATGAAGTCTCCTCAAACTCCCATGTCTCTGAATTCATGCACTTGAACTGGAATGAAAGGGATGAAATTTGAACAAAAGACTGTGCTGTTGTTATATTCCCCACTTTTGTTGGTTTTGGAAGTAAAAATATTAAGAATTAATATTTTTCCAAGGGAATTCAGTAAAAATATTTAAATCGTTTCCTATGTAGGCTTTGTATTTTTGAAGCAAATTTAGAAAGGAGATGAAATTATCTCCTAAAATTAGATCAACAAAAGAATCTTTCAGGGCAGAAACATAAAGCCATGGGATGTTTGATATAATATATGTGGAGGTACATAATAATATTGCTAGAATTGAGTGTTGTCTTGCATCATATAACAAATGAGAGTAACGTGTGTAAATATTGACCAATAGGCTTGATAAACCTGTAGAGTTATTCTTTCAAAATATCAAGTAGACAATGCTGAGGATGAAGATGGACATACCAAGGAATGTGAATTTAGTAAAGGAATGATTCATAATAGATAAATGTGAGTGCAGGATACAGTATGTGTCATTCTTTGAAAGATGCAAGAAGCCTTCAAGGTGTCACTCATGTCAGAGCTTGGGTGTTTCATGTTCATGCCCAAGGAGGGCAAAGCAGCAGCTGGAAGCCAAGGCCAGGAGTTTTTGAAGGGGTCCACTGAAATGATGTCAATTTTGCTCAGCCCCCTCAGAAAGCTTATCATGCATACTGCTTGGTGTTGCTTGTGTCACTGCCTTCCTGGGAGAGGTGATATTATGTCCCAGCGATGCATCAGGACAGCACAAACATTGTGACACCATGTCAAGACATCACTCTCTGTACTATATAAGGAACTGAGCTCCGCAAGGCACAGTATGGCTGACCTGGTGGGTTTGCTCAGCAAGCCACAAGGTTTGAAAACTGACTACAAATATTCAAAAAGAGGTAAAGGTTGGTCTATGTTTATAAAGGACTGAGAACTTTTTTTTTTTGTCCAGCCACAAGTATCTCAAAATAGTTTTTGTTTAGTTCTCAAAATATTCCTGTAGGAACCTCCCCTGGGAGTTTAGGAAATAAATAGCTGGACAGACTATTTATTTCCAAGATGTTTACTCGTGCAATCCATGTGATTGTAAGGTGCCTCCATTTCTCAAGCTCTCTTTCAGTTCCTTAGGGGCGCATAATTTAAACCTAGCAACTTTCCCCATATACTGACAGACTGTTATTCCTAAATATTGAACTGGTAGCTCCAATTGTCTATTCATAGTGCAACTATTAATGTGGCAAGAGAGGGTGGTTTGTGATTAAGTTTGAAATGCCCAGACTCCCTGGAACCACAAGTTCAAATCCCTGCGAGATCAGCCCCTCTGTCTGCGCTACATGCACTCTGCAGTCCCAGGTCACCCACAAAAAGCCCTGAAATTAGGTCTGTCTAATCAGCTTATATTTTAAAGGTCCACAAGTCATGTGTTGTCAAAAGAGACTACCCCAATATTTGTGCACATGCTTCCTCACACCTGTGCTTGCTCTACAGCATTGTGATAGGTAGCTGCTTACTGCCACCTGCCACAGAGCTGGCTTGCAATTCAGCACAGGTGATGCAGTCCAGCTGCTTTTGTGTTGATAAAAGTTATGGTCCTCTTGAACCATACTTTTTCAAACCAATGCAATTCTAATCTAAGAGCTAATATTTTGAAAACACATGCTTCAAAATAAAATGCTGCCAATTAGCTGTTAGCGGCAAGCACTGTGAAATTCACACTGCAGTAAAACAATCTTCAGTTTATTCTCACTACCTATTTTCCTAAAAGAAGAGCTTTTTCATGGCAGATTTACATTAATATCCCATTTATTGTTTGAACAAGAAAAGCAGTGAGAACTTAAAATCAGGATGGCAACAGATATACTCCAACAATATACATCCATCTTGCAACAGAACCCCAGGGTGCCTTAAGCATCCATGTGAAGCCAATTAACCACTTGAGTATTTTTCTGATTGAAATAGGCAGCAAGCACCAGAGATTAAATAGAAATAAACATAGCATGTACATAATTTGGCTAGCCCATTTTCTTATGATTAATTAATTCTAGATTTCTATTCAGTAGCTTATTCATTTAGCAGCACTGCTGAAACTCCTAAAAAATGCTAAATGTGCTACTTAGGATGACCAGGATGGGTAGCTAGCAGGTCTATAAGAAGAGAAGCAGCAGCTGAAACCAGATCACTTGAAAAGCAGAGGAAGATAGAGGGCAGAACCTGGTAGAGCTGGTAAGTCTGTTTTATTTTATCAGATTTCCTGCAAAATATATTCTCTGTGGTACACTCTGACATTCTTAAATATTTTATCTTTCTTTGTTGTTTTTAGACTTCTCCTTTTCTTTATCTATAATGGTGTTAGAGCAGAAAAAAATCTGTTGCTTGTATACATGTATCTCTCAAAAGTACAGAGAAGTGTGAAATAAAAAAATCATTGGTAATCCTTATAAGCTTTGGTTAGAAACTAATTTAAGTAAAAAATACTTTTAAAGTGACCATCTAAACTTTAAAAATTAAGGGAAAAACATCAAAATGTATAGCTTGGGGGAGGGGTGGGGGCTGCAAACTCCTTCTTATTCCCTCTTTAAGCTTAATCACGTAAGCTTACTGCCAGTAAGCTTCTATGATAAAGACTAAGGGAAGTCAATCTGTATAAACAGAAAAGGAAAAAGGCAGTGTCTGTAGGTTGAGTGCTGCTTATAATATGTCACATAAGATAGCACTGCTAAGAAGTGAGAGGAGAAATGGATATCCAAATAAAAGTGATTATTCCTCTTTCTAAGGAGAAAAGAAAAACCAAACCAAACAAACAAAAAAAAAGCAAAACAAAACATAAACCAGCTGATTTCTGCTGTGTTGAAGAGTCAGTATTCTATCTCTTGCCTCCTTTGTGCCTAGAAACACAAAGTGCACGTGAAACTCTCCTAGAAAACTTAGCCCCTACACTGAGGCAAAACACTGACAAGGAATGGAGAACTAATGCCTTTTACTTCAGCAGATATATTTCCCTGCACTCCTGTGCCCCCCTTCATCATAGTTCTGTTGTCTTGACCCTCCAGCTACAACCAAGGCCTTGATCTATATACAGTTTAGAATACAGGCATTTAAAATATACTGCCCCCTTGCCAAGCTTCATGCAATCAACTTTCATGAAATATCTGAATTATCTCATGAAAGCAAAGAGTTCAAAAGTTGCTGTAAGTACTTAAATGCTCATCTAATTGAGATATTTATCTTATATACACTTTAAACTGGATATTTTTATCTTGGGCTTCTCCAGGTGTAAGAAGTTCAGTTCCTTTTTGCTGGGGATTTGCAAATGGACAGGGAAAATGCTACAAGCAAAAACAACCTTGCCTTGTTGTAAATTCAGTTGAAAATAGACTTGCACAAAACATATTCTTTTAGAATCAAAGCTTAGATGAAGTAAGCCAAATGTCAAGTAAGTAGGAGAGACTTGAACGTTTGTGAGCCCCCTTTAAGGAATTAAGAGAAACAAAATAGCCATGGGACTAAGAAATTGCTGGGTGAATCCAGCAATTCTCTGCACATCTCTTAGGAGGACCTGAATTTTTGCTACACTATGATAATCTCTCTGGTATGTAACAGTTTTCACCTACATACAGTGTTAGCAGCTGCAACCCCAAAAGTACGTTAATTGTGTACTCTGAAGAAGAAAACACTGTCTTAATGATGTTGTGCTTAGTGAAAAAACTTCCAGCACACTTGAAGCTTCACATGCAGAAGACTGGGACAGGTGTAAGTGTTGTATGTGTGACCAGCTGTCTTCTAATGTTCTATTTTCCAAACCGTTGAACACTTATCTATACAAAAGATAAAGTCCATGTAAAAACAGAATGTAGACATGAATTTAGGAATGCCTTGGATTTGATTTAGCAGCTTACTGTTAAAAAGCACTTTGCATTGCATCTCTTTCTGTGTAAGCAATGACACAATCTTATTTTCTTAAGGCAATAAACCTGACTTCAAGATGTCAGAGGAAGATGATTCTTTTCTGAATGTTAAAAGATCTCTGAAAAAGAGAATGGTGAAACACAGCACCCCAGTGGACTCGATGTTTTCAAAAACAGATCTTACAGATCTGACAAATCATCTGGCCCCAATCAAGGGCCAAGATGCCAGTAAGAGAGTTTATGGATCTCCATTGCCAAAATCAAATACAAGTAGATCATTGTCTCAAGTATCATTAGTAGGCATTGATGCCTACTTCCCTCATACGTCCCCTAAAAGGCTTTCAACAGTGTTTGACTCGCAAGAATTAAATAAAGAGAAAAGCCAAAGCACTCAGCTTGCATTTTCTAGAAGGAGGCTTTCCACTGTGTTGGCATCTGATGAATCAAATCAAGAGCCAAGTGATCAGGTTGTCCCAAACATGGAAACTCAAGCTACCACCAAAGCATCTGTGGAGGCTGCAGTAACTCGCAAGAGTGGACCTTCGTGGCTTGTTACTGGAATACCGGGGATTAAAGATCTACCAATAGCAAAACCCAGAAAGAAGAAAACTGTTAAAGCTCTTGTGGTAAAGGCTTTCATTCAGTTATGCAATAGCTAATAATCTACTCCTTTCTTTGTTTAATCCAAATTGTTTAATCCATTCTTTATATAAAGAATGCTAGACATTGCAAATGGGATCTTGTATGCAGTCCTTTTGATTAGCGTTGGGTTTCCTAGGGAAAGCTTAGATTAATAGACCTTATGAGGGTCTTGATTGTGGAGCACAAGAACTCTGTTGCCTGGAATTTTAATTATTAGCAAATGGCCTGTGGAAAGCCCATAGAAAGGATAGGGGGGCAGTAGAGTTAGATTCTGAAGGTTGTCCGTGCGAAATCATCAAATTCTGTTCTGGTTTGGTTTTTGTAACCTATTGTTCATGGTTGTGTTGAAATCTCAAGAAAACTTACCAGCTCTGAGAGTGTAAAAGCTTCTTATCTTAAAACAAATGGAAAACTTCACCTGAAATCCAGTTAGGTCATAATACTTCTGTGTATGTTGTTTGTTTCTGAAAGCAGGGGGCATCTGAATGCATTAGTTAACTAAATAATATTTCCTCTTCTATAACAGAGAAAGAAAGATAGAGAATGGCTGCTTCGTCAACTTAAAAACATCGAAGAGGCAACTAAACATGAATTGACAATTGAAGAAGCTTGATTGGGCTACCTATGGGATTAATGCTGTCACATCCGTCTCGTGGGAATAACCAGATCCAAAAAATCACACTCTTTACTATTGTGACTATTAGACTTCCTCTTTCCTTCCAAAATGTTCCTTTGTTGTTCTTGTTTTGTGATTTGTTTTTTCTTGTATCTTAAATCTAGGAGAAATCAGGTACAAATTAAGAAGTGCCTCTACATGAGAGCCAATCTTAATTTATAATGGCTGAAAGCCTGAAACAAAAAAGGCAAGAAGAACTTTGTATAATAATCATTCTTCATCCTGCCACAGGTCTTGCCGGCCATATATTTTCTTGTAGCATTCCAATCTTCTAGGGTTGCTGATGTTTCTTAAGCAACGAAGTCCTAGTGGTCACATACAGCGTAATCCTGGTTAGCCAAAGGAGAATCTCCTCATCTAAAGAGTAGTCACAGCTGATGCAATCTGGAATGTAATTGCTGCTAGCTGGAGAGAGGGAATACTGAGAGGTACCAAGGAGGGAGGCCACTCTCTAGAGATTACTAATTAAAGACTGTTTTGAAGTTTTGGTTCAAAATGAGTTTGTCCCAGCCTTGGATTGTAAATGCAAATCACTGTTGCACTGGAGATACCTAATGCTTTTGTGGGTTTTTTTGTGGGAGTATGGGTTTTCTGTTTTTTCTCTGGAGCTGCTGCATGTCATTTAAGAAGGGTGTATTACCTGACAGCTGTATTGTCAAAATGGTAGTTTAGTTCATAGGATCTTTCTGAAGCATCAGTTAAGAAGTGATGCAAAAACCATGATGTTTGTGTTAGTTCCTACTGCTGTCTGTTATTTAATCTTTAGGCAGAGTTTACCACTTCTAAGTAATCTATGGAGAGCCAGCAGCAGGAATTCAGAAAACATGCACATATTTCTGCACTTGTGTAGCTCTAGCATGTGTGCTTTCCTGGCTATACTGGTTTTGTAGCTGTTCCAGGCATTACCTAGTTACACCAAAGAGGAGAGGTCTGGTTCAGGAGAAACTGTAAGTTAAGAATGGAGGCAAGGGACACTTCTGCATTTCCTTCCCACACACTGTAACTCGTAATATCTCATGTTCAAGATGGCAGAGAAGCAGAAGTATGTCTCAAGGCAACATTATGAGACAGGCTGACCAATAGTATCTGTATTATGCCCAAAATTGCAAGAGTGGAGTTGTGGCTTTAAACCATTCTCAGGATTTAAAAGGGATGTTTTTGCTAATGTTTCCTGAAATGAAATTCTTCAGAGTTTCTCAGGAGAACAGCTTTATCCTCAGGCCTGGCTTTCTGTGTAGCCAGGCAGTGGGGTGATGCTGCCCCTCAGGTCATCAGCCAAGGCATGCTCACTTGGTTTGATGTTTAGTTAATGTTCTGGTATTTGTTTATGTGTGTTACCCAGGCTGCTTGTCTGGCCCCCACAGCTTCCTCTGGCAACTAGAGAGCTCTTGGCGGGTGTAGATTCCAAGCTGCTTTTGAGATAAAATAGGCATGGTTGCAGATGTGCTGCTATTCCCCTTGAGCTTGCAGGCATTTCATCAGTATCTATGATTTGTGCCAGGGGCTGAACTAAGATCAGGCAAGTGCAAGGTTAGTGTAAAACCCTCCTCTACCCCTGGGACAAGCAGAGATTAGTCTGGCTACATGACCCAATGCTTAATCCAAATGACCCAGTTCTATCTCTTGTTTATTTGTTCCTTCCCAGAGAGTCAGTTCCAGTTGTTCCTTCTTCAGTCTTCTCATCCTAGTCTCAGAAAGTCCTGATACTGCTTCTGTTTTCCTTTCTCGCAGTCACCTCTCAAAGTCTCCTGCTGATTCAATTCCTTGGTCTTCAAATATCTCCATCTAACATCTTCTCCAATTTGGCTTCTAATTGCTTCCTTTCTTATAAGACACAGAGATCTTTTGTCTTCTATGCCTGCTCTTTACTGCTCCATTCCTTGCCCATCTGATACCTGACATCAATCTTCTGCCAAAACTCAGACTCAGCTGTCATACCCCACCACTTCATGATGCTACGCCAAGTGGAAAGATCAGCTGGGACAAGTAGCTCGTAGGAGGCCAGGGATGTAGTTGTTGGGAAAGTCCACCTCAGGCCCTGCTTCAGGCTATATCAAATGCAAGAGAAATCCAGGGAATATGGCTACTTAATATCTAATAAGTCTTTGGCTTTGTGCTAAATGCAATATAACACTTCTGAAAAATCAGAACACAGTAAATGCTGTGAAAGTTTTCCAGGGAACAAGGCTGCCACCTGTCAGCTTCATGGAACTAGCTAGTGCCAATAAAACCTCTGAGAATTTCCTCTGTGGAGGAAAAAAATTGCCCTGAATGGTAACACAGAACTGATTTTTTCAAGTCTGATTTTTTCAAACTGGTCTTTTCAAGTTCTGAAGCTGTATCAGGTAGCTAGATGCAAAAAATTCAGGGCTCTCATGATTTTGGAAACTACTGCTATTTCTTCTCTAGAAAATTACAAAGAAATACAAAAGATTATATAGCATTAATCTTGGAGTAATTTAGGTACTCATGAGTTTGCAAATGACAAAAAATGGCTTATAGTATTTCATGAGAAAATATTAATAAAATCAACAGGTGCTCTTCAGGGATTTTCCAACATGTGTCTGCTACTCTACATCACCAGTATCAATAGTTAATTATATGTTAGAAAGCTAAAGGTTTTCAACAAGGCCTATGTACTACATTATATCTTAGTGAATGATTTTTCCCAAAGAAAGGCTTGCCTCTAATTTATTAAACTGGGATGTTAGAGAATATGAAACTACATATACCAGACTACATATATAAAACTATACTGCTATTATTGCACTTTACATATATCTATAGGGGGAAAAAAAAAAAAAAAAAGAATTGAACAAAAAGCCAAAACCAAACAACTACTATTTCTTTGTTTACTGGGCTTGCACTTTCTTTTGTGTCTCTTGTAGACTACTGGAATTTAACATTAAAGTTTAACGATACAGCTAGTTTTCTGTTGTAGTATGTATGCATGCCTTTGAAAAGTTTTGAGAGAGGCACTAGTCGTATGCAGTTTCACTACTATTTAATGTTCATCCTCTAGTGGTAACAATGGCAAATTACTGTTTGTTTAGTGCTTCTTCTTATGGGTGAAGTTACTGTATGAATATTTATATTACAATATCAACATAGTGAAAAAAAAAAGCTTAAAGGGAGTCGTAAAGTCCAACACCTCTAAAAAAGAAGTCCTTCAAATTATTATGAACCTTAAGCATGGATTGCAGCTGCTGAGGTTGGAAAAGATTAGGGACTACAAACACCAGACTCTTATGAGAAGATAATCCCCAAAGCATCATGTTCTGTAAAATAAAAAGCCCTTTTCCCATATGGATGAATGTGAATCAGAGTTGCAACAGGTTCTTGAGCCTTGTTCTTGTCCTGACTTTCAAATGCAACATGGACGTGTTTGTAAGTTTAGAACAGCCTTCCCGCTGAGGGTGTTCTTTTAGGGCAGTATTTTTCCTTTTGGAGTGAAGCTATGACCTTGACCTATGGAACTGTTTTCAGTACACTTGTCCCTGAATGGATATTACACAACCTACCTGCTGAGGGTGACTAAGCATGATGTTGGATGAAGAAGAACAAAAACATTACCAAGAACAGAGGTAAGAGACAGAAATATCTTCACCCTGGATTTATGAGCTCAGCCTTGTTCTCACTGAAGCAGTGGTGATACTCCTGTTGACAGAGCTGGAAGTGTTCTGCCCAGCTGCAGTGCTTCTGCTGGAGGACGGTATGAAGAAAAAAAATGTTTAGCACACATAGTTAACATATTTCAGATTTAAATAACAGAGAGCTGGTAACTAAGTCCTTCCTTCACTGATCACAGCTGAACAATTTTAGAATAACTAAGAAAAGTAGAAAAAAAAACAAACAGATTTTTATTTTTCTCCTCTAAATCACAACATTGTTGTGCTACGGACAAAACCCTGAGTAATAAATCATACAGCAGTGTCACTGACCTGTACTCGGTTGTTTTGTCCTGCAAGGCACACAGGAACAATAGTCTCCCTTAGCTCCATCTGTTGGTGCACTTCACAATGCCTATTAAAACAGCTCATTCCTCAACACATCTGTCTTATTAGAAACAAATGAACAACCACTGAGCTTTGCAGTACCTAGGAAAGTTGGATCAGTTGAAGCAATTGGGTAACATTTTCAAATGTTACTGAAAACTTGAGCTAGGCAGATATCCTAGGACCTCACTTAGGATGTAGAACCTGCACTCCCCACTTCCCACCCCACCAAACCTTGCTTAGGCCTTATACTGCTATGTAACTATGCAAATTTATGAAAATATCATGTACAATTAAATTGTATTTAATAGTGCAGTCAGTCCTAATGGGTATGCAAATCCTGTAGAGCTTGACAGTTGCTAGACTCCTGGGTCTGCCCATACATGTGGCTTCACAGCACTTACGCCAACCTGACCCCTCCACCCTGAAATGATACATATGCATCAAGATGCATAGCAGGTACATATATCTACCTGATATATGAGACAGGAGGTATGTCTACCTGACTTTAGTTCCAGCAACCCACAGTATAAAATTCTGGGAAGTAGAGACTGCATTTCAAATCTCCTTCTCATCTTAGGACCTTGAAACCAAGCATCCTAGGTCACAAGGCAATCACCATCTCTAGGCTTACCGTGGAGTCAGTGCTTTTAAGTGCTACCTGTCAAAGTTGTTCTACTTTGCCTAAGTGTTCATTAAAAATAAGACTGAACTTGTATCATTCCTCTGGCACTCACTGTCTTGCATCTTTTATTTATTGGTGGATTTGTGCCATTTTCCTGTTTTACTTCGTTTTTATAGAAGAAATGAAAAGAAGAAAGGGGAAAAACATCCTTCCTTACTCCCAGGGAGCAAAAACACAGAGAAAGAAATATCTTTTCTGCTTCTTACTGTTGCTTTCATTTTGATCCCTTTTGTTGTCCTCCACTTCATCCTTTTGGT